AGTTGTAGTTCTTTCCATCTGCCTCCCATCTCCATGCTGTTGCACCAGTGTCATTGGATGGATAATGGCTCCTCACAGAGGCCCTCAGCAGGGTGGAGGGGAGTTTCACTCTTGAGATGTCATGGTGCCCCGTGAAATCTGGGTAACCTTGCTGGATTATTTAGAATACCGTGGGAAAGGCTTTAGCTGCAGCTCTTAACCCTGTCTCTTCTAACTGCAGTAGGGTATCTAAGCCTCTTTTTCCTATCAGATGTCAGCTGTACAATATGAATATAACAGAGGAGAAACAATAACATAAAATTAAGTTGCATTAACTTAAAAAAATTATACATGTTTATTACAAGTCCTTTACTGCACCCCCACAAAGTCGAAATGTTCACAAACTGAATGGCTTGAAGACAAGTGTACTATTTTTAAAATACAACAGTCTGATAAACCTTAAGCTACCTGAGGACAAAGCTAGTACTGAGTTACATACACATTCCAATGAGGAATTAAATATTAATCTAGAAGGCTAGTGGTAGTTTCTTACAGGTCTTGACATCACTGAATCTTGCAGAGGCAGTGCTGAGAGTCAGACCTGTGCTCTTTGCTCACACATCTCACGTTAATTTTAAATGGAATCATCCCTCTGTAAAAACTGAATAAAAATTGTAGAGCATGGGCCTTGCAGTATTAGATACAGTGTTTTGGGAAACTGTGGAAGATGCTGAGTCTGAGAGGCTTGCATTCAGAGCTCAAACTCAAATCTTCCTTCATAATATGGTTGATACTCTGGGGTTTTCATATCCTAAGGAGAAACTTGGTCTAAAATGAGTCTTGCAATATTTTACAAGGCATGCTTAACCTCTTAATGTGTGTCATGCAAAGATTAAGAGGCAGTGTTATTGCTTGCAAAATCACCTGCTATTTCCAGGAAACAGTCTTTGCTGGACCTGTCCTTGTCACTGGCATAAGTATAATGCTTTTAATAATCTCCCATTGCCTAAATGATGTGTTTGCATCAAAATGATGGATATGCTATAGCTGGCAGAACTTTTTGAGATCTACTTATTTCTATCTTGTTCTTCTGCTGCCATCTAGAGGTTTTATTTTTAGATTTACAAAAAAAAAAAAAAAAAAAAGAAAATAAAGTGTTTTATTATATTTCAAAGTTGCCTTTAAAAACTGCCTCCACCTTAAACATCACTTAAGGTGCTATTATCACTGAACCTCTGTCTCCATACAAGAGCAGATTAATGAAGTGTGTACAAGTTTTTGAGCTGTGGGATGCAAGTGAACCTTATGGCTGAAGTAAGATTTGTACTAGAGGCAAGCACTGTCATAAAAAAAATCTTTTCCTCATAAAAAGCACCTGTAAATTTGCCTTAGGAGGAATTTTCATAAAACTTGTTTTCCAGCAATAAACAGCAACACATCAAAGCAGCCTCAAAGTGAGCAGGTGCTTGGAGAAAAGGCAGCCTTGCCAGCCTTGCAGCAGAATGCCAACATGACAGGCACAGCTACAACTTTGGGCCATCAGCACAACTGGCTGACATCTTATCTGCCTCCCGTGACAAGGCAGAGATGCTCCATTTCACACTGGCAGTGCCCAGAAAAGCACAGCATGAAACTCAGACAACACAAAAATCACCAGTGCGACAGAAAATCATTCTGATAGAAACATTTCTTCTTAAAGGTAACAGAAACAGCTAATTCACTGTAATGGGCTCCTGGCTTTGTAAAAATAATAGATTCACATGCAGTATAAATGAGTTCATCTCCCTTGACCCCAGTATTAATAGGTTAATTTGGCATCAGACCTTCTCTAGCAAATCTTACCTTCTTGCTTTGCCTCTTCAAATGTTTATTAATTAAACTAATGCTAACACCAGGTCTGTGGAGGGCGTGTGCAAATGCTAATGTGCCTCACCATGTATTCCATCTGAATGGATTACCAGAGCATCATTTTTGTCTCTCTGATATCCATCCGATTGTATTGCCCCTCTGGGCAGCTAGGTGCACATTGACTCTGAAAAACCCTTTTAAACAGAGTTGAACCAATTCATTTCCCAGCACCGATAACAAGATTTTTAAATGTGTACAAAGGAACCAAATGTACACTGAACACTGAAATATGTGGAAGAGTTTCTAGGAAGTCCTTAGCCTTTAGAATACAATGTTCCTGTGAATGATAATTTCTGTACTTCAGCAGAGGATTAACTGTCATAATAAATTATTTCTGTTTGCCTGGAAGGAAATAAGTGAAACTTCCTTAACTAAGAAGGCCAGCAAAAGGTACAGCAGAGATGAGACTAACCTTGTCTACTGTGCCCAAGGATACCTCTGAAAAGCTGCCATAACATGCAATAATTTGATAGTGTCAGCTAAAATTAACGTGTGTACTGTAGAAGGAGATAAGAATAATATTAAATTCCTGCTGATACTCACTTTGTATGCTACAGAGACTGGCTCTGATGTTTTGTGAACCTGCCATAATAAGATTTTGAAAACCTTAAATACCTTTAACAAGAAATTAGAATAGAAAAGGAAAAAATATGGTTTATTTTGTTGAGACCTGCTGAAGTTCTTGTGATGACGGATTCCTATAAAATATATTTTCTTATTTTGACAGATACTCAGATGGCAAATCCTTACTTTTCTTTGTGTCATAAAACCTCCTAACGAAAATACTTCGTGTTACTACCATGTTCTTTAGTCTTTAAACCTCTTGGACACTTTCTTTTATTCAATGACCAGATGCAGAACGTGGATACCTAGCCACAAATTTTCACCCCAAAAGAAAGTATTTTTCATCATCATTTAGTATAATTCCTGGATATTTATACTGTACTTAATATAAACTCACTGTTCATCTGCTCTGGAAACAAAAATATTTAAAAAATATTTTTATTTAAAATCAAAGCATCTTTTAATAAAGTGTGATCAAAGACTATTTTCTTTCCAGAGCTGGCCTGTTGTTTTGTATCATGACTGCTTACAGATATCAATGAATTGCAAAGGAGGTTTGCAGTCTTTGGAGAATTTGAGACTACAGTGAATCCATCCTCATCATTACTTGTTCAAACCATCGGGTTTCTAGCTAGTTTACACTACCATGCCCTCAATTCTCCTTGACTACTGAAAATTAGGATAAAATACTAGAAAGGGAGAGAACCTCTCAAATCTAGCATTTAACAAGCTCATGTGAGAGGCAGGATGCCTAGGTCTAGTCTCGTTTTCAGTCTATTTACCCAGCCAGGTAAAGTTAAAAAAATAAAATAAAATAAAATAAATAAATAGAAGCAGCACGTCCAAATGCAAACTAAACTCAGCATTAGTGCATTACTCTTGATAGTCAGAGGATAATCAGAGATACTGGTTCAAATCTCCATGGATGGGAAGGAGGAGGGAGGGGATTTCTGCTCTTCTGTCTCCCAGATGTGTGCAACAACCTACTGTATCTGACAGATTGTAAGCTGGTTTCTCATTTCATCTGCTTTTCATCTTTCTCCAAGACAAAAAAACACATTGTTGTTCAAGTGAATTGGGTTCCAGACAAAACAATGAAAGGTCTATGTCACTGAAATGAAATTTGAGGGGAAAAAAAAAAAGGAAACCCTGAAATTAAATTTGTTCCAAAACTTTCCATTTTCCTGTTTTGTTTTGTATTTTTTTTCTGTTTGTCTGTATACTTGTGCCATACTCTTTAATCCAGTTTCTTCAGCGAAAAGTTTGCTGTGCCATTTCTTCATGTGACCCCTCATCCAAGCTCCCACCTCCCACAGTGCCCTCTTTTCATCTCATTTATCCTAGAGACTGGAAAAAGCCACGATAGAGGAGGGCTGCTTTCACTGTGTATCACATGGGAGTGTTGAGTGTTACTTACCATGAGAGCTCCTTGCTGGAAGCTGTTTAGCAAGGAGCAAAGCTTCTTCTAGGTACATAGGTGGTTTTTTATCAAACAGGGAACCTGATCCAAAAAAGCTATCACTGCAAACACCCAATCTCTCAAATGTATCATATGAGAGATATGTGAGAAACTGATGCCCACCCTACTTGAATGTTTCACAATAAGAACGTATTGAAATTTTTGCCTACAAGAACATCACCCATGGAAGAGTTCCCTTGTTCTTTTTACTGAGAGGAGATTCAAAGACATAATTATCTTAAGTGACTGAATTGTATACATATCTTCTGGTGCCAGTTTAAGCTTGACCTGTATTGTAAAAAGTAAAATTAATGTTGCAAGTGCCACCCAGTGACTGTGATTAACCATAATTTGCATTCTTTATTGAAAGTTGATAGTCTGCATGCTACCAGCTGTGAAATTGTGCAATAAGCAATAATTAAACAATGAAGAAGAGTAAATAGAACTAGTTAGGTGTGATTTGGAGCAGTGAGTAGCAAAGGTGACTTTTAAAGTTTTATTAGCACAAAGCAGGAAAAACAAAATACAACCATGTGACCTATGGTTCAGTTAGCAAAGAGTGATCATTTGTAAAAGTCTACTAAAGTCACACTATTGATAGAACAAGAGTATCACTAATAAAGCAAGACTATTCACTAAACTTACAGGACCAAGGATTTCAAAGCCAAAAGGAACATCTCTGAATATCTATCTAACTGCAGTTCTCTACCTTTACTGATGGGACGTTTGCTCTCAGAGGCTTGTTGGATTGCTTGGACTTTGGGTTTTTTTTTGCAGAGGATCAGGAAGTGTAAAAATGTAAGTTTACTGGAGGTTTGTAGGCTTTTGAAACTTGCCATTGCATATGGGAACCTCTGGCAGTAATATGGTTTTTCACAGTTTGCAAGTCCTACTCTGTTATATGCATTCAAAATGAGATTGTTGCAGATGTGTACAGCACCACAGCACAACTTCCTCTCTAAGCAAACTTAAAAACTCAGTTTCCTTTTGACATTACCAATAAATTTTGTGTGGCACTAGCTCAAATACAGCTCATGTATTCTATTCTGTTTGTCAGACATAGGGTGAAGCTTCACTTGTTACAAGATCTTCACTTTTGCTCAGGTTTGGGGACTTCTGATGGTGGTATTGGCCTGGGTTTAGCAAGTTGGCCAGGCTTAATTTCAGGCATTTTTTCACCATGTCTGTACACACTTACAGTGACATCCACTGTTTCCCCACCATGCTTGTTCTTGACATGGATGCTATATTTGCCTGAATCTTCTGAAGTCACTCCCTTGATGGTTAAGCTGGCATATTTCCCTTGTTCCAGTGAAAATGCATAATGCTCATCAATTTCAAACGCCTTGTCATTCTTGAACCAAACCACTTCAGGGTCAGGATTTCCAAATACAGTACAGGTCAGATTCAGTGTCTGAGGGAGAAAAAAAGAAGTAATTTTGAGATCAGTAACACTTGTTTAACCAGAATATTCTCTGTATTGTTTTTAGGCATTTTTTATTCTTAGCTAATTAAACTAAGACATGGTATCATGTTCTCGAAGACTGAAAAGTAGAGTCCCTAATATTTCTTTTTCACTTGATTCAGACTTTCCACCATCTCACCAGTAACTGTGATGCAGTAATAGCCTCAGGTTACAGTGTCTGAAGATGGTAAGTTGGACTGTCATTGCAGTCCTGCCTGCAGGAGACTCCTGACAACCCATTAGTCTGACATGAGGTTCAGGCAATGATAGTTTTAAAAACATCCTCGAAGCTTCCCTGTACACAGCAGGGAGGAGAACTGAGCAAATCTTTTCTGACCAAGGCCTCCTGAGGTTATTGCTTGAGATGATTTTTTTAAAAATCACTTAAAAATAGAATACAAAACATGAATCACTGGACATCGATTCCAGGTGTGGCTGACTGGTAAAGTGGAAACATTTTATGAAGAATAAATAATACATAAATATTGATAACGTGCTCTTAAAATCATAGAATGGTTTGGGTTAGAAGGGACCTTAAAGAATCCCTGCCATGGGGAGGGACATCTTCCACAGGCAGGGACACCTTCCACTAGACAGGGTTGCTCACAGTACTGTCCAACCTGGCCATGCCTTACATGCATGTGAAGTATATTCAGAAAACAGCTGACATTATGTAATGGACCATCCTGGGAGCTCAGGCGTTTCTCAAGGGCTGAACTGAGATTTAAGGAGCTCCTAAAATTTTCATGAACATTCTTCCAAATTTTGATAGATGTATGTGGAACCCCATTTTGACCACCCTCCACATATGTGTATGTAAACCTCATGGATTTAGGTACAGTGATCACAGAAAAAATGAAAGAAACATCTGAGAAGTTGCATTGATTAGTCCGTACTTTGTTTACCTTTGCTGAAAACTCTGCACAAATTTTGGCCCTAGATAACTAAGTCACCTTAAGAATTTAACATATGCAGTATTGTGCTAGAAAAGAAAAAGGAGAAAGAAAACAGGAAAAAAATAAAGCAAAGGAAAAACCCTACTGTTAGCAACCCCAAATTGATAATTTCTACCAGAATTCTTCCTTTTATTCCCTCCAGTTTCCACTTCAGGTTTCACCAAATCCTAATCCAGAGGGAGCTGAGAAAATCCATCTGTGTTCACATATGCACATTTTTGAGGAATGTTTTTCTTGATTGATGATGATGGAATAGGTGTGATATTACTCAGAGTAAAAATAAAACAGGAAGAAATAGTGATCAAAAGCACCTTATGTTCACAAATAGAAGTGCCCAAGTCATGCATCCCAAGTCAGAATGCTGAAGGAAGATTTACATACTATGTGGCAAGCTAAGTTTATGACTATTCGTGAAGTGATATAGTGTAGGAGACAAAGTTAACTAATAGCATATAGGAAATAGACTTCCTATAAAATATTTAAAGAATGATGATGCAAACACAAAAATAAATTTTTGGGAAAATAACCTTGTGTCTAATAGTGTGTTTTATTCTTTCTGTCTTTTTTTGTAACATGGGCAACACTTAATTACTATTGCTTTCAAAAGTGATATCATTTAAGTGAAATTAATAATTAAATCAAAATAATTAATCAAGTCTTAATAAATCAATATTTAAAACTTAGCAGATATATTCCACAGTAATTTTAGATACTTTGGGTCTGTTCTACTTATGAAATTATAGATTCAAACTAAAAATAAAATAAGCCTGCTTCTGCTTTCAGTTTCTATGAAACCATTTGCATTCCCTCACCTTTTGACATCAAAGTAAACATCCCACTGCTCAGCATGACAAAACCTGTCCTTACCTTCCCATCCATGATAGTAACGACATCAGGCAAACCACCAATGACTTTTCCACGATCTAGGAGTTAAAGAAAAATATGGTGGCTTTGTGAAGTTTAGACCTCAAAATAACTAATTTCTTAATGATTTTGGTGTCATGATCCACAACTTTTTTTTTTTTTGCTTCTTTTTTTTTTCTTTCAAAAAATTACAATTTTTGTGATATTTTGGAAGGTTTTTAATGTGTTGTATAGACCCTTTCGGGTTTTTTTGGCAAGGATTGTGCCACTGCATTCTAAACTGATACACATGACAAGCTCGAATGTACTGCTGGGCTTGACAGTTTGTGTTTTGAGCTCAGAGCAAAGGAAGGAGGGTGCTTTTAGCATCTTGGTGTTATCCAAAATCTAAGAAAAATTCATTCTGCCACGGTCTTTGTGGGCAGAAGCCTCATATCACCAGGGAATTGATATAATTTCCATTACTCCTACAGTCCCTAACTGTAATGAGCTTCCCCACAGTCTGGGTCTCAGCAAGCAGTGCAGAACAGGCAGAAGCAGGCAATTTTTTCTTAAAACATAGATCCCAATATTCAGTATTCTCAGCAGCTTTCAGACACAATACCTCCTTGTAAGACACACAATTCACACTTCACCAAAGCTCTGCAGACACAAGAAGACGCGGTGGAGGCTTGCAAAATATGTAAAGTGTTTAGAGGGTTTCCAAGAAAATTAAAGACAACTAAATCCACAAAGTACTACTGTTATTGCAATATTTTGTGCTAACAGAGGATTTCTGCAGCCACAGAACTCAGTAAGTTATGGCAGCATATCATGATGGATGCTTTAAAAAGAACACTAGATCACATTGTAAAACACCTATGATAAAATGTAAAATAAACTTACTCTTCTCAGCAAAAGCAGCTGCCCTAAAGTTGTTGAGAAAGAAAGAGAAGCATATAATGTTATTGATGAAATTAATAATAAAATATCTTTTGTAAGCAAAGACAATTGTTATAGCATTAAAATATAGAAGACACAGCACTTACTTGAGTCGCTGGAACTCTGCATATGCATCATCAAAAGCTGTAATAAAATAATTGAAAGGATTATTTTCCATGAATATAACTTGCACTTGGGGCCCAATAAACATTTAAGCACATACCATGTTACAACTCCTTTAGAACCCATACAGAGTAACACAGGAGCACAATGAGAAACCAGACCCCTGAATAAAGCAACTGGTGCTGAAAACAGATATAAGACTAAAAAGATAACAGTTATAAAACTTAACTATGACTGGTTTGGATCAAAGACTATCCGTTTTTAATATAATTCCTCTATTTCTAGTAAAATCTGCATAATCTATGAAAAAGCACAATAGAAATCTGATCTTATAAATGTATACCTTGCCCAGACAGATCAAGTGTGCGCTTGTAGGATTCCTTGCCACCAAAGATTTCAAAGGTGTAGTTCCCCTTATCCTTCTCAGTGGGTTCAGTTATCTGCAACCAGGCAACATCATCTCCACCTCCAATCTTCATCTTTTCACCAGAAGAGATCTTAGAGTCTCTGGGAAAAAAAAAAATTATTAGAGATGAGTGTGAACATTCTTTTCTATATGTTGTCCATAGGAAATAATCTGTAAAAAGTCACAAATTATAACATACTATTCCTAAGCTACAGATTGCCACTAATAGGCTAATTTTTCCAGAATACTCTTTGCTTCCAGGTGGGAGCATGAAACACTTCGAAAATATCAGCTTGTGTTTTAATTTCTAAGGTTCACTGTTTATCTTTTTCTTATTCTCCTTCTGGCACATGCTTGCATCTTTATGCACATACATGACTCTGTGAAAGTGCTTAGGGTTCTGTACACTTCATACACAGTAAAATATAATACATAAGGGTTGTAAATTATAGGCAAATCACCTTTTTTTTATGAAGAAAAGATATCTTTTGTCTTTCATTAACTTCAAAAGTCAATTAACAAAAGATTTTTGTAAAATTACTCTTGCATCAAGTTAAAATACATTTTTGCTTTTTTAAACAACAAGAAAATTTCTTAACTGCAGATAAGTAATAAAAACTTTTTAATAAACAATGATATTAGCTTGACTTATCATCACTTCCTAGTTAAGAATAAAATAAATGACTTTCAGATTTAGATCAGGTGGCCTTCTGGTCCACAGTGTCTCATGAATAGTGAAGAAGCTATTTAATGAGAGCATATAAACCAGACCTCTCTCAATAGCTCAAAGAGAACTTCTTCTTTCACTCATTAACTAAAGATACAGTTCTTTTCATTCTTCCTCCCCAAGCACCTTTAGCTGGAATTTTTAAAAAATGAAGACAGTTTCAGTTTTTCCTTGATCACTCATTTTATTTGTCTAGACAGAGCTAATTTGACTCCATAGCAAGAATTATTTTGATGGTGAAAAAGTATTTTTACCATTTCCCTTTCTTTAAGACAACTTCATTGAGTTCAGCCTACCAAATTAGATTTCTGGATAGAAACTGCTATATATTAGAAAATATTACATACAATGTTTCCTACTGTGCCCTGAGTGAATGATGAATACTGAGTGAATGATGAACACTAGGTCTAGAACTTGTATTGTATTTTATACTATGCAGGACAGTGGATAATTAAATGCTAGCCAGAAATTTACATTGTAAAACAACAACAACAACAACAACAAAAACAACAAAACAAAAAAAACAACCAAAAAAAAAATCATGGGTTGTGTAGTGTTTCAATTTTTCCAGGAAAAAAATTTGTTATCATCCCATTTAAAGAAGATGGGAAGCTAGGAGAGGTTGGTAAGTTGGTTGGTTGGCTTTGGTCTTTTAGCTTTAACAGCTCTGATGATAGCCATTATATTCATATAAGAATTGAAATTTTATTCGTTCAGAATCTGTGTTCAATGATCTTCAAGACAATCAAAGTGTAAGACATTATAAAATCTGTAATATTCGGGAGATTATAAATATAAATAATATAAATATAAATATAAGCACACTGATACTTCCATATTAGCCATGTAGCATTCTTTACTTTTATACTTCTATGAAATAGATGGTAGAATAGACTGTCACTTTTAATATTCAAGCTATAAACTTTTGACTTGTAACTCTGCCAGTAAAAGGCAGAGTCAAAAAATCTTTTTATTTTCCTTGCCATCATACCAGTATCACTATTATGAAAGAAGAAGAACTTTGTAAATACAAAGTCTGAGATATAAATACAGTTGCACAGCCGAGCAGAAGTGTTCTTGGGCTCCCTGAATGTGATAATTGATGCTCTGTATTCTTGTCTTCTTGAATATCTTTTCAAAGAGGAGTATCAAAATTAAAATATTTTGTGTTACTTAAGACTGTATCAGTTTGGAAAAAATCATTATTAAACTGTGAGATCACATCCCTGGTATTCACCTAGAACTGGAGGAGAGTTTCATCCACTTTAGAAAAAGGGAAGCCCTGAATTGGAAATTTTGCTCAAATATTTTACTATGTTTTAACCATTCATATAATACAATAGAAGACAAAAAGTCTTGTGCTGAATAAGAGAATGCAATACAGTTGATTCCTGTTTTCTGTCTGTTACAGACCTTCTGATGGGTGCTGGACAAGCCTTTTAATATTTCTTTTACCTATGTACTTTCTATGCTAAAAGAGAATATATTTTTCTGGAAAGAGAAATTCATTAATGTGGTCCAACCTATAAATGAATCCCACAAAATAGTAAATATTAAATTGTAAAGACAACATTTTTTTCCCAAATAAAATTGAAAAAAATATTCTCATCTACCTGTGGCACCAGCTGACTTTCATTTCTTCATTGTAGTATTTCAAGAAACACTGGAGCCTTATTCCTTCCTCAGTGCAAAGAATTTTCAGCGGAGAGGCTGACTTACCTAGATGAAATAGAGAATATGTGTATCAAGTAGGAGAGACAGTGGAATTAACAGGAAATAGAGGAATGGATTATTTGTACTGTCTGGACAAAAGAAAATTCAAGGCATGGGTCATGATTCTCAAGTATCACAGAGACGAGACAGTTGTCATACCTCTCAGAGAACATCTGCTGCTTTATATCACGTGAAAGTTCAGTATAAGTTTATGAATTTATTGTCATATACAAGCATCATGACTGGCAAGATCCATTATGAAATAATAATCTAGTCATATAATTTCCATGAAAGAGTAGTGTAACAAATGTATTTGCATAAAAATTTTATTCTTGTGCAAACCCTGTTCTTTAAGTGGAAAGAAAAGCTTCTCACTGGAAACAGATTCAGAGCCTCATTCTCTCTATATCAAGGTTCACTTACTAATGGAAAGTAGGAAGAAAATTATTCCTGCAACATTTTCACAGTGTCCAAACCAAACAAACCAGGTGGAATAATACTTTGTTCCCTTTTAATAGTGACAATTAACAAGGTCAACTGCCTGTTCAGAAACTTAATAACATCCATAATAATATAAGCATTGGCACTCTCAGAAATTTCCCACTTAAAATAATTTTTTTCTGTCTCAGCCTTATGTGACTTCAAAATTTAAAACTACATGAAAATTCAAGACAGCATTTACTTACCACTCATTCCACTCAATGCCAGAATTATATCATCATAAACTGCAGAGAGAAAGAAAAAAAAGGAAGAAAATGTACCATCAAAATTCAATCAGAATATAGCTTTTTTATGTTCAGTTTAATTAAAGCAAAACGGGAAATCTTCATATCCTTAAGCAAAGAAAACCATTAAAATTGCAACAGGTGTACAGGACAAATTGAAAACTGTCTGTGTACCGCATATGAATATATGAATCTGTGCTGTGTCACTCAGTATCTCAGCCTTTTATGGAGTCAGCTGTCTGCTGCCAAATCTTTGTCTCTCTCCCTTAGGCCAGCAAAAAGAAAAAAGTCATTAAAACTGAATAGTTCACATTCAAAAGAGATTGCAGGTGAAAAAGAAATTTTTGCATTCTTGTTGAAAACAGTTTCACCTTCTCTCTGTAGGGTGGCTTTTGAGAGAAGTGAAGTCCTTTAACAGAAGTGAAGTAAAGCAGGTATCGTACCAAGGTTTTAAAATATCACAGAGCTGATGGGTTTGTAGCAGGAGAGAACACCGAGACAGGGCATAAGAGTGGGGAACCCTTTCATAGCAGAAGAATCATATTCAGTGACACCATGTAAGATAAAGAGAATGAACCACCATAGTCTAAAGAATTCATAGTCAAATCTGAAGGATGCTTATTCAACACTAAGGAATTTTTATGAAAATGGAAGACAGAGAAATGTATGAAGTTCAGAAAATACTACTTATATAATTGTTCTATATTGATCTGCATATGCACATTTTTATCTCAGCTAAAATAAGTCATGATACAGTTCCATAATTCTTTGCAATCTCCAGTATGCTTCTACTGACACCTTGACATAAGGACATGAATCGCATATTATATATACATCTTACATTATGGATGTCTAAGAAGGTAGGGTTATATTAACCATACTGTCTAAATTACAGTGGGGGAGGATTTCTGAGAGAATAATGGGCAGAATTTATGCAAAATAAAAATGCCTGGGAGACTATCAATTGATAATACAGCCTTCTGCAGTAAACCACAGCTTAAGAACTTCCTGATACTCATCTTTTCATCTTATTACAGGTACTTCCTCCATTTGCTGAAAAGGAGTGTTAAGATTTTTAGCAAACCAAATTAAATTTTTTACATGTCTTTCTCCTTCTATTAGGAGCCTGAAAAAAATGCTCATTATTTGGTACAAATGTCTATATGAAGTTAGGATGAATCTAGATTCACTTTGGCCTATTTGGTGTGACTTAAGCAAATATATAGGGAAGCTCTCTTCACCAAATCTAAGTAAAATTCACTCATGTTGGCAACAGATCATTGTTTTTTATGGAGTCAGAATATTCTGAGTTGGAAGGGGCCTACAAGAATCATCAAGTCCAAGTCTTGAGTGAATGGCCCATACAGGGCCATCCACCACCTTGGCATTATTAGCACTATGCTTTAACCAACTGAGCTCATCTCAGGGTCAAAGTAAATTGACATTTTTTACATATAAAAAATTAAATGTAAATGCAAATAGAATTGATGTATCTCACTCATGTCTAATATCATATGAAACCTTTTCTAAATGTTTATCATGTGTATATTTTAAATTATATTCCCTTTTTTGCATTTAACTTCATTTTAATGTCAGCGGATACTGAGCTTGAAGTAACCTGCCCCATAAAAAATGCAGTCTTCCCTGCTCCTGCTAGACTTCTCTTTTTATCCTTTATGTTTCAAGGCTAACTCCACCATTTAGGAGACCCATTGTTTAGTTTAATAGTGCAGTTTTCAATAGGTTTGCTGGTTGACATTTTCAAAGCCTCTTGGACCCACAGAATTAGATACTGTGAATTCTCTAAACAGGCATTTCACTGTACATTTCAAGCACAACACAGTTTGCCATACCTGAAGTTTAATCACTGGAAGCTGGACCCTGACCATATGATGGAGACCTATCATACCTTTTGCTTATTCCAGTGGTCAGGATACACATACACAAATCCATAGACTAAAGGAATGATCAATGTGTATATATCAAAGGACAGGAAGGGAGGAGGTGATTAATGAGAACATATTTCAAACTGTGGGATCTGAGTATGACATAAATGGTATAGAATAAGGGACAGAAATTGTACTGGTTTTGGCTGGAATGTTTTTAATTTTCTTCATAGCAGCTTTTGTGACTAAAGCAGTGCTGGTAACAAAGGGATGTTTTAGCTATTCCAGAGCAGTGCTTGTACAATGTGGAAGGCTTTTATTTCTTCTCCTCAGACTGCCTCACCAAGAGGAGGCTCAGGGTGCACAAGAAGTCAGGAGGTGACACAGCCAAGACAGTTGACCCCAACTGACCCAAAGGACATTTAATACCGTATGATATCATACCCACTATATAAAGCTCAGGGAAGAAGAAGGAAGTGAGGAACATTTGAAGTGATGGTGTTTGTCTTCCCAACTCATTGTTACATGGAGCTTGGCTTTACTAGAGGTGGCTGAACACCTACCTGCCCATGAGAAACAATGAATTAATTCTTTTTTTTTGCTTTGCTTGTATACATAGCTTTAGCTCTACGTATTAAACTACCTTTAGCTCAACCCAGGATTTCTTTACTTTTCCCCTTCCAATTTCCTCCCACATCTCACTGAAAGAGAGTGAGCAAGTGGCTATGTGAGGCTGAGATGCCAACTGACACTAACCCACAAAACAGTTTTATTATTTAGAATCAAAAGCACTCTTGCTTCCCACTGAGTCTCACATGAACATAGCTCTGTTGCATTAGGGTTTTTATAAATGTTAAAGCTTAACAAACCTGAAAGAGAGTGATGTCCCATAAAAATGGAGTGTCTATCTGGTTAGAAACATACCATCTCCTGCCTGTCAAAATGCTAGAGATTAATCACAACAATGTCCAGTGTCACCCTTCCTAAAGTGCTGATCTGCAGTTCAGGTCCCTATAAAATAATAGAAATTAAATTCAAAGAATGCCAAAAATATATGCTAATTTTCCATTTGCAAGGATAGATATTTGACACCTCTGGAGAACATGTGGAGATCATTATTCCATTACTGTAGATTGAATGTTACCTTTTCCTGATAATTCAAGAGAAGATACATCATGCCCTCTATCATCTGATAGTGTCGCCTTATAAACTCCTTCATCTTTGCGAGATAGCTGCAAGGAAAACATAAGATGTTTTCTAACAAACTTGATAATACTAGATAGTTCTAGATTTACTCAACCCTTGCACAGTTTTCTAAATAAAACAACATACATTGGACTGTCTTCTGGATAAATATTACCAGATATTAGATGGAAACTATGAATAGCTTGTTCATGCTTTTTAAATGTAGATGCATTTAGTTCTTGAGCCTAAAACCTATTCTGATTTCAGTTCCATTTCCTCTAGAAACCATGAGGTTTTTTTCTCTTGTTCCAAAAAGACAGGATGGATCTTTGTCAGTAGAAATTACAAGCATTGTAGTAAGATGCAACAAGGCATAACTGCAACCTACACAAATTTTAGAAAAGTAATTTTTCTTCAACAAAAATTATTATTTTTTGAATTATGTAAATAATAGCAGCATATCAATATCTGGTAATATCAGCTCCTTCATGCTGCTTGCATTCAAGCAGCAACTGTAGTCAAATTAGATCTGTGCTAAGTAAATAATTCATTACCCTTGGAGAGTTTACATTCTGAAATCTATCACAGTGATATTGCATTAAAGTCAGTAGAGATATTCTGGTTTTGTGGGTTTATTTTAATTTCTTTTAAAACCTGAAGGAAAATATACAAACAGTTATATATAGACTGGAGATTACTTAATACTTAGACTTATACAAATCCACAAGCACATAAACCATAGCACAAATATCATAAAATTGAGTGACAAGTACCACGAGCAATCCAAGATAAGCAGAAACCACCCTCCCAAAAAAAGTCTACCCAAGAAAAATGAAGTTGGTAAGTCAGTATCCTCTTTCAAGGGAAATGAAGGAAAGAAATTAGAAGAATATGAAGCCAATAAATAAACAATTGAGATGGAATGCACATTACTGAAAGCAGAAAATCTCATTCTGGGAGGTTTTGTCACTTCACAAAGGCAGCAACTATGCAAGTTAAGATTTCAGACACAAGTTAGGTTATCCTGTTTGCATAAAGATAAATCTTAAGAAGGCATAAACTTCAAACTAATTCATTTTAGGCAATAAAACTAAAACACTGTCAAAAATGAGATGCTTGAACAAGTTGAAAAATTAAGGAGTAATAATAAAGAATAAGATACAGGTCACCCAAGGACTCTGAAGCAACTTAAGCATGAACTCTGAACTGATTAAAAATCAGATACTTTTTTTAGTAATAGTTATTCACCAGCTAATTGAAGAGTAGAAAATATGGGGGTTTTCTTACAACTGTTAAAAAAAATCATGATAGCTGTCTTACTGCTTTGTCTGGCTACTCTATAGTGCGTCAAGCAGAAGCTGTAATTTGCAATCAGCAGGTGATACAGTACCTTGGGAATACTGAGGTGACATTCTCCCTGCTGCAGATCGGGTAGCTCCTCAACATCAACCCCAGAACCATCCTTATACCACTTAAAATCAGTCTCCTTCTTTGTGTTTGCAACCTGTACAACAGAAAAGGCACATAAGCCTACCTATGTCCTGAGGAAAGATATTGCACTGTGGGAAGTCACACAGGTACTTTCAGCATATGAAACCATTTTTTTTATAACACATGTCAAATAAAGCTAAATAAAAAAACAATTTCAACCAAGTCCTACTAAGCAAATCTTAGTCCTACAATGTTTCTTTGCAGCACAGTGTACAGGTTACAATTTAAAATCCTTAAAGAAATCCTGGCAATCTCTTCCCTTAAACGCTTCAGACCCTTGCTCTGTGCCTGTAGTTTGTCTAGAGATAGCTGCTGAAGAAGTATCTTTCAAATTAGAGCTGAACTCTTCTTTATCGTTTTGTGTTTGCCCTGTGACTCCAGAGAGTTGTAACACAGAACTTGGATAGGACTAAGCCCTATCTTAGTCTTTGGCCAATTTGGAGGTTTATCCCAGATCCCAAGCAATGTCTCTCATGGATAAGCCACAGAAAGCAACTGAAATCACTATTCTAAAAGCATCCAAGATGTCAAAACTGTGAGCTGCACTAAAAGTACTTTTTTATTTTACCTTCTGCCTTGAGTCCTATGGGGCATACAAAGACCTGAGGAATCCCACAAAGTGCAGTCTCTCCCAACAAAAAGGGTATTAACAATGTAGTGCATATGCAGACCAGTTGTTTGAAAGCATGAATTTTGCTGTAGCAGAAACAGTTCATTGAAACAATGTTTAAAAAGGTTACAGCTGTACTTGAAGTACTGTTCTAATTTTGATATAAAAAACTGTTTATTGGAAACACTTGAAATATTGCTGGATAAATTGCCTCAAACTCTGAATTCAAAGAAGCCAAAAGTGCAGCTCTTTTTAGAAACTTGGCTATATATATATATATATATATACACACACATATTTTTTATTTATTTTTTTTACCCTCGCTTTCAAAACACTGGTTTATTTGACATCACTATCCCCATACGCTTCTAAAAGTCATGAAAATGCAACGGTATTTTCATGTGTAGCCTGAACTCCCAGTCACTGTGGCTTGGGTAGAAGGACAGAGCCAGCAAGATATTTCTCAGTCCCCAGGCAGTTGCTTTAAAAAGTCTCCTTAAAGAAAAAGCAAAAAAACTGAACAAATGGCTAGAGGGCAGCCAGGAACTTAATACAGATCTGCAATAGTTTTCAAGTGGCTTGCTTGGAGGAAAAAACATGTGCCAATTTCTAACCCTTTTACATTAGAGAAGCCATTCCATAGACGAACAGCTCTATGAAAGCTCTCTGTAGATGTGACAAATTGGAGGGTCCTCTGTACTGATTCCTACACATCTCTATCAAACCTGTTCAAATTTATCACATCTATTCTTACTTAATAACCAGTGTGGTTGCTATGGATCTCTGACAGTATTTGAGATCACCACTTGGCCCAAAGCAATGACTTGCTGAAGAAAAGTGACCAGCATTTTACATTTACCAGAAACTACAAAGTGGCTGTTCCTGTAGTCCTATGACATGAGTGACAATTTTATTTGAACAAAGCCCGAAGGAACAAGCCTTTAATGCTTTTCAACAATTTTTCATCAAAGACTGTTAGCACTCAATCTGACAATAAATAGACTGAGTTTCAGACACATGCAATTTGCAGTGCTGGAGTTATTTCATGTTGGCATTTGCTATGAAATGTTATGTTTTTCACTGTTTAGTCTCACACCAAAAATCTTGCAAAAATCTTAACAGACACAGTACAAATAAGGGCCAAAGTTGTGCAAGAGCAAGTAGCTTCTGAATCTTCCAAAATTTAGAATTACTAGAAGCAAAATGACAGTAGTTGCTGGCATATGAAGAAAAATAAACACAAAATAAAAAGCAAAAAAATCACTTTCAAATGGACAATCATGTTCCACTGACATCAAGGGGCTACAATACCAAGAATATGGTCATCAATCCCAGCTAATTCAGATTTAAATACTAAGACAATCAAAACTCAGTCAGGTCCAATCATATAGAATATAAGGGCTATGTGAGGTAATATTTGATATACTGTTTTATAACACAATCCATATTTGTCCATCATTTCTGTTATGGGCCTGGATCACACAGTCAGTCCTTTGCCCTACACCAGCTTCCAGTTGACGTGGTTTCCTATCTTCCCTACACCATGCTATGGAATGAAAGAAGTCAAGGTAAAATGCCCTCTCTTACAAATACTCCTTTATATTATCCCAGGCTCTTAGAAGAGGCCAAAACTCTCTTGACAATTTTTTTTTTTTTTTCCCAGAGGACCACTAAACCTAGCCTGGAAAAGACCTGTGTCAAGTGTTATGATATGGCCTGAGATGGCAGAGATTATTCCTTTATTGCTTTTATTACTGCAGAAATAGCATGGAATGGCCACACTTCTAATTTGTTTGTCAGGTATCTGGAGTTTGAAGGACAAACCCAGGCTTTGTTTTCCAAACTCTTCCTATGTACAAATATAAGCTAAACAGCCATAAACAACAGTACCATGTGAACCCAATGGGCAGTCACATACTAACAGTTACAAACATTATAAGGTCAATGGCATAGTTAAAATGATGAGTGTGCAAGCAGCACACATCCTAGATTCCATTTACATAAAATGTTCTGACCTTGTGAACAAAAAGCACAGTGGTGAAAAGCAAATAATCAGATGCTCAGCCTTTCACAGCTTCAGTGCTATAAACAGGCTTGACAGTCAATGAAAGAAGGATAATTTCAGATTAATTTGTAGAGAATTAACACTAGCATAACTGGTTCAGCAACATTTAATTCCCCAGGTGAATGAAAGGATAAGCAGGGTTCATGCCTCAGGCACATGCATGTGGAGATTTTAAAGTACTCCAGCAAAGGTACTGTGTTAACTAATGAGTGTTGAGCTCTAAAATGGGAGCACATGGAGCGCCAGCTTCAGCACCAGGTCAGTTCTGCTGGGAATAACTTGAGGTTAAGGGTCTTCTAGTTAATGAGCAGTAAAAAAAAAAAAGAAAGAAAGAAAAAAAAAATCCCACAAATGTGCATGTAAATTGCACATAATGAATTCTTCAAGTTAGTCTAATTATAAGCCAAAATTATTCAAAAGAAAAGGAGAAAATTAATACAAAAGAGTCCATATTAGGAGGAAAAGAGAATGAAGAAGATTTTGATGTGTGAATTAAATTTACTTAGTTATTCAGACCTCTAATTAGTTACTCTAGAAGAGCAAAACAAATGAAAATGTATTTGTTCAGCAAGGCATTTAAAGATGTTAATAGCAGAAGTTACACTGAAATCAATACACATTACACTTACTTAAGATTCAAAAGTTATTAGACAAAAATTATTTTAAAATCTTGATTTATACCCTTAATTCCAGAAGTCTTTGTAGCACATTTGACTACAGTTGATTAAATAACAGACGCTTTCTTAGAAAAATCATAAAATAGTAAAGAAAGATTTTGATCTCTGGCTTTTTTTAGCTATTTTTGAGGTAGAAGAAAAGAGATACATCTTAAGGGACGTATATTTTGTGTAAATTATTCTTATGCTCACAACTTTTTTAAAGAATTGGACCACCTAATAATACATTTGGAAATGTCCTAATGATTTTTTTCATCAACACTACTGCTGAAGAATAAAAAGAAATTTTCATCTTAAAATTTTCTAATTAATAAAAAAATAGTTTTCATATGAAACTTTTGTTTTTAAAGGTACCTAAATCCTTTTTCATATTTTTCTACCTCAATTCTTCATCACCATATTCTAAAAATAATTTCTAGTTTATTTCCTTACCTTACAAGAAAGCAAAACTTCGCATTCCTCTGTAACCTTCCAATACAAAAACTCTGAGAAGTGAGGACCTAAGAAACAAAAAAATCTTAAAGAAATGTTGTAGAATGAAGAGTATCAGAAAGATCCAGTGAAAGAAAGAAAAAGGATAACAATTACAATATCCCTACACCTGAACAAGAGAGAATTCCTGAACTGCCCATGCGCTAGAAGGAAAATCCTGCAAGTTTTTATCATACTAACCTCGTGTCTACAGTTCAGCTTAGAAGCATGAACCTCGTCTAAATCTCTATGAATTAGGTATCCAATAGCAATTTTTTCATTCGGCTGCAAGCAGTATCAATAATCAGTATATAACAAACTCTACAAATGTATAGCAACTATGCGCAAATATACATTTAGTTCCTGGAATTTTGCCTCAATAGAAACAATAGGGTCAAGCTTTTAATCTTCCTTGTCTGGCATTACTTGTCTACTCTTCTGTCAATTATATTGAACAGACAACTTGTATGCTTAAAACTAAATGCAATTAAATGTTTTATTGGACTGGAGCCTACAGTAGGCACACTTCTCATGAATATTGAGAAAAGATAACCTCTTGTGAGAACTCCTTTTTTCTCTGCTTAGTGAAGGTTCTGCCACAAATTGACAATGTTGGAAAATAAGATCCACAAGGTTTCAAGTGTCTCCTAAGACTGAACATTATACTCATCTTCCAATAAAGAAGGGAAGCTGTAAGTGCTTAGCATTCACCAGGAATTAATCATTAGCTGCAAACTGAGCCTAAAGTCACCAATCTGTTCCGTCTTACCTTGTTTTCTGAGAAATTCCTTTCTTTGGAGCTCAGACTCCTCCAATACTTTCTTGAATGCTAAATTTTAGAAGAGGTGAATGAAGAATGAGTTAGCCACAAAATTACTCAAAGAATAATTGAACTTCACTTCTTCATCAAAGTTTCAGTGTTTCAATCTTTCAGTGAACATACCATCTCCAATGAGAACTAACGAGGACTGGTTTTTGGCCTTTCCATCCTGAATCTGTACTGTGTAGGTACCTTCATTGTCAATTGTAAATTTTTCCATCACCATTTCTATAATGCCATTTGGACGGTCACAATTTATTTTATGCCTCTGAAATAAACAAATAAGTATTTTACTACAGTGTCAATTACTTTTGATTCCTACTGAATGAATTATGATTTATATTCTTTCTCCCACAGTCAACCTTTTTCATGTCCTTTTAATTGTAAACCAAGGAAAGAGAACTCTGCTTATTTACTGTTGTACAATAAGATCCCAGGGCTGACAGAAACCTCTGTGTGCAACTGTATTTGGAATCCTCAAGTAATCATAACATAGCTGGTTTGTATTTGAAAATAATTGTTTATGACACTGTGTAGATTTGAAGAGCCTAACAGCCAGCCTTTAGGTGCATTACAGCTTCCAGTTCAACGAGGGGGTTTGCTAAGCAGAAGCACTATTCCTTGCAGAGTCCAGAAACAACTGGAAATATTATGTTTCTAGGCACAAATGTGGATCTTCAAATAAATCCGTCACACCAAATCCAAAAAGTCATTCCTGCTAAATATCTGATACATATATAGTAGTCAATAATGGATCTTATTTTCACATTAAAAAATAGTTTATCTAGGAAGAGTATAATGATTTTCTCATTTAATGCTAGGTGTAATTTTCAAAGAACACTTAAAGCAAACGACAATGAGAAAATAACTTGTGCCAACCCCACAGACTTTCTGGGAACCAAAAGGGATTGACCAAGTCCAGCAAAAGAGAGGTATAATTCTGTCAGGACATATAGTTACCCACTTAAGTATTTCAGGAATACATAAAACACCAAATATTCACTTGAATTCTAAGTTAAATATGATTTTAACTGTTTTTGGCTTTTATGTGTTTGCTTTTTATTAAGTATTCCAGAAAGATAAATTATTGGCAAGCATCGTCATGGAAATAGAAAATTGCAAGCTAATATTAGACAAAATATGTGGTTTGAATTTTCAGGTACTGTTTTAGATACAACCATGTTTTACTAATATCCTCTTTTATTCAGTGAGTTACTGGTATGAAAACAATGTCCCTCACTAACAGTGATGTTTTTTGAATCTCAACTAAGAAATTCCTAAAGCTAAATTCAAATAATCCATAGAAGTTTCTTGGTGAATACTTTTAGGTAAATGATGTGGCCAAGGATATTGCACACTAACTTCCAATTACACAGAACAGTAAATGTCACCATCTAGAAGGAGTTATATGCAGTGAATTACTATAGACCCTGTTACTTTGAAATTTGTCATACATACTGTTAAAAGTTGTCTTATAAACAGAATGTTTTGATAAACCTGTTTATTGGTCTCCAAATTAAAAAATGGTACTAAAGTAATAGGTAGATAAAGTTTAAGGAAGGAGGAGAAAGAAGAAACTTTATAAAGGCTAGTAAAAATGCCACTTATTAAGCTCTCTTGAAACTGAAGAACCTCTAAGTCCCCTAAGACCCAAATGTAGTAGGAATGACCCCACAGATACATCTCCTTTTAGCTTTGAGGGATGTCTCTTGGCCAGCCTCAAAAACAGACTCACTCTGGCATGGATAACAGGTCTGGAAGAACAGTGTCAAACAGTCAAGATATTTAGCAATCAGCATTTTCAAATATATAAATCTTTTAAATCTTAATGGGATAATGGAAGGATGAAGAAAAAGAAAAGATGTGGAATTAAAAAAGCAGTCAGCTAACAAATTGATCAGGATAATAATTTTTTAAGGGATATGCATGTTAATTTGGATACATGATTTCCTATACATAGTGCAAAGAAAGATAAAATGTCAAAGAATAAGACAAGATTAAATTAATTGGGAAATTAAGTAGAAAATCTACTTGTGTAAGAGTTCATCGGTAAGAGTTAAGGTGATAACTGAGGAAGGTTAAAAAGAGCATTAATTAACTTACCTAACCTATCAAAATTGCAAATTTCAATGTGCAAAAGTCAAATTCTTGCTTACAGCCTCTTCCCCTCACAGGTCAAGGACTACACTGGCATTAACTTCATGAGTTCCCAGGGAGAACATTAAATTATATTTTGCCAGAAGCAGAAAAGTTAAGAAGAAAAATAAGGATATTTTAATCTGATTCTTAATGACACTTTTTTTTTCTTTTATTAAACAAAATATTAAAATATTCAAATTAAGGCTGAGTAAATGGGGCTCAGTTTATTTCATTTTAAGCTTATTTTGAAATCTTACTAAAAACACTCCCTGTTAGGATCTAGCAGGAAAAATTTATCACTTCAGCCAATGTCAAGAATCAGGCTACAATTCACCACCATAATGGTCTATTGAACATGTTCAGTGACTGTAGCCCAGTCTCCAGACAGGTTTTAGAGTGCAATTAGGCTTCTAACTATTGCCATTATGCAGCAAGATGAAGTTCAATGATTTTATGGGCATCATAAATATTAGGCTTTTATGTGGCTTTCCACAAAAATATCATCTGTCTCCAAACATAAATGTCACCTGTGGGTTACTAATTAAAGAGAAGAAATAATGCAGCTTCATTTCAAGACTCTTTCTGATGTCAACACTTCCAAAACATATGCAAACTAAAAATAGCTCATTCTGTTCCATTAACATCTCCAAGACAGAGTATTGTCATTTCAATACATCCTAGGCACAAATATTCAGGTTTTCAGTGTATGGTTTATTACTTCTTAAAGCTAAAAAAAACAAAGAATAATTTTACTCAGAAATACTTCTTCCACTTGTCAATATGTAATTAAAGTAAATGCCTTTTGCTTTTCTATGGTGTAAAAATGCTGATAAAGCTTCTCTGACCCAAACCAGGATTTGCATTCTCAAAAAAAAAAAAAAAAAATAAAAAAGGAAGTGATACCATATAAAAATTTTAAGTCTATGAACACTGCTGCATTGTCAAGGTCAAGTGCCTCCCACTTTGGGAACAGCATGTCTTGTTGGTTGGGAATTTAAAACTGTACTTGAAGCAGACATTTTTTTGAGATATTTTTCTAAAATATTTGTCCTTAACACTGGTGTGTATGTAAATTCTCCTTCTGTTTGGCTGTTGATCATCTAATTACCAAAAATGAATTGCAAGAATCCAACTCTTTGTTCAGTATGAATAGGCTCACTCTGCAACAGGAATTCTATACTGAAAAAAAATATTTGAGTTATAGATTGGCCTTCTTTTCAGGTGTTATCACACCTTAATAACATGATATTAGGAAACTATTATGTCCAGAGAACTACAGGCCTGTCAGCCTGACCTCAGTGCCAGGGAATATTAAGAAGCAGATACATCTTGAGGACACCAAGCAACAGACACAGGACAACCAGGGGATCAGGCGCAGGCAGCACGGGCTTGTGAAAGGTAAGTCCTGCTTTACTGACCTGATAACCTTCAGTGGCAAGGTGACCCACTTAGTGGGTGAAGGAAGGGCTGTGGATATTGTCCAGGAATTAAGTCAAGCCTTTGTCACTGTTTCCCACATTCTCCTGGAGAAACTGGCTGCTCATAGCTTGGATGCATGCACTAGCCCCTGGCTGGACAGCCAGGAGCAAAGTAGTGGTGAATGGAGTTAAATCCATTGGGTGGATGTCACAAATTATATTCTCCAGGGCTCAGCAGTGGAGACAGTCCTGTTTAACATCTTTTATCAATGATCTAGAAGGATCAAGTTGGGTGGGAGTGCTGATCTGCTGGAGGGTAGGAAGACTCTGCAGAGATATCTTTACAAGTTGAATAGATGTCTCGAGACCAATTGTATGAAGTTCAACAAAGCCAAGGGCCAGGTCATGCACTTGGATCAAAACAAGGCTTGGGAAGGAGTTACTGAAAAGGGGCCCAGTGGGAAAGGACCTGGAGGTGCTGGTCAACAGCTGGTTGATCACGAGCCATCAGCATGTGCCCATGAGGTCAAGCAGGCCAATGGCATCCTGGCCTTTATTAGCAACAGTGTGGCCAGTAGCACCAGAGCAGTAATTGTACTCAGCACTGCTGAGGCCTCAGCTCAAATCCTGTGTTCAGTTCTGGGCTCATCACTGCAAGATGGGCATTGAGGTGCTGGAGTGTGTCCAGAGAAGGACAGAGCTGGTGAGGGGTTATGAGCACAAGTCCTGTGAGAAGCATCTGGGGGAGGTGGGCTTGTTTAGCCTGGAGAAACAGAGGCTCAGGGGGACCATTAGTGCTCTCTACAGCTGCCTGAAGGAGGGCCCAGTGGGGATCAGTCTCTTCCCCCAAGTAACAAGCAAGAAAGGGACTCAAGTTGCATCAAGGGAGTTTAGACTGGATATCAGGAAAATTTTCTTCACTGAAAAGGCTGTCAAGCATTGTACCAGGCCCAGGGAAGTGGCTGAGTCACCATCACTGGAGGTATTGAAAACACAAGTAGATGTGGCACTTAGGGACATGATCTAGTAGTGGACTTGGTAGTGTCATGTTAACTGTTGAATCCGTGATCTTAAAGGACTTTTCCAACTTAAATGACTCTATGAATCTATGATAATAATAGAAACCTACAGGTTTCTTAAACAAAATCACTCATGTATATTACTCATTATGTACTTACCTCACTGTTTTCAACTTCTTTATCATTAATAACAAATCTGAAAGTAGAATCTGGAGATAAGCTTTCAGCCTGAATCCAGAAACGAACTTCTCCTTTATCAAGAACCTCATAAGCTAATTCTGATTTCAGTGGTATTGCTACAAAAAGAAAAGAATCAAAAATCAATAGTTCAGTAAACCTTTTGAGAAATAGGTATATCATAGTAAAATATTAGCAATTCCCTATTATTTATGGATTTCTGGATATCAAATAAATTTTACACTGGGAAAAGTCCTCTAATGCAGCCTTTGGCTGATTTTTAAATTAATTTCTCATAGAAAGAAGAGAATTTACAGCTTACTGTTTGTACATTGTGTAAGGATTTGGCTAGTAACCATCTATAATTCATTGTCATTAAACTTCAGAGACATTTAGGAATGATGATTTTATTTTATGTCAACCAATATTCTTCCAAAAAAACTAAAAGATAAGGAAGCAAGGTGTTCCATGGTAAATGAAGCTGCCGTGAAATATGAAGTTGCCATTATCTCAGGAAAAATCTTTTTGGAACTCCAGTCATTAGTATGTAATTATATTCCTTCTAGAAGTGTCTAACAGATTCAGATCTTCAACTTACTTGGATTCTTTATTTCATAGCTTAATGCCATCAAACGTTCAAACTCTGAAAATAAGAAAAATATTCACGTTTTAATTTATTCTGAAAGATATCTACAGCAAATGGGTGTAAACAAAAGTAAATATCAGCATCAGCAAAGTTATCTCTTTAAAACTTGTATATGAATACACAGCTCTTCAGAAAATGACTGAAAAATAAGATTTAGGAAACACAAACTCCAATACATGGATTTAGCAAATGTTGCTATTGCATGCATTTTAGTGTACACTCTTACACAAGAGAATCTAAAGAAAGGCTAAAAACTATTTTAAACTTTAAAAATAGCAGTATGAAAGAAAGATGGGAAACAATAGATTCTAAGCAGTGAAAAGGTTCCTTTATCCCATGCCTTCTTTTCTCAGACTGTTCCTGAAAATTTTGTTTTACTGTGGCAGGAAACAGGATTGAGTGCAGGTTAGTCTGAAAACAGTACAGAAAGTTCTAGTTAATGCATTAGATCCTTATGAAGGCTGTGTGAGAGTCTAGAATTCTGTTTTTTAGATTTCCATACTAATCCTATTTGTTATAGTCATTACCAATAAAGACTTGGAAAGCGAACATTACTGCCAATTCCAAATTTACAGATAATATAAAGACGAGAGAAAATTAGCATGGATTTATGACATAGTAGAGGATTTAGCAATATTAAAGGAGAATTTATAGCTTTTGAGAGAGTAAATGGACGGTGAAAAGATGGTTTTCAGTGTTAAGATGCAAAATCTGATACCTTTTTTCTGCTTTTTTTTGTTTGGTTTGGGTTGGGTTTTTTCCTTGAACATGGATTTCTTCCCAACACATACTTGGAAAGGGTGGCTTGACATGTTTCTCACTGTGATTCCTTAAATGGCTTAGTAGGTTGAGAAGCAGAGGGATTTTAATACTTGAGGAACTGGGCAGAGCAATTACAGTCCAGGACTGGGAAAGCACCAAAGTAATTTTTATTTTATGTAAAATAGCAAATTCTCCTCTTTGCTTTTTATGTCAGCATTTCTCAATGATAAAACAAAGTGAGACTGAAGCAAATTAATTGTGAATCCAGTGAAACAAAATAGCTACAACGAAATAAAGCAAAACAAATATATATGTAAGCCAAATGATAATTTAACCCAGTGTATTTAGACCTTGTTAAAGTATTGTCATTTTTCTCACTAATTTCCTGCATCTCATCATGAGAAACTTCATCTAGAGCCTCAAGCACAATTGAAAGTGTAAGGGATATTTACAAACATCATTATTATCCCAGCATAAGGAAAGCAATTCTGATTTGCCATATTTGTTATCTTTATCTAGAAAATGTTGCCCGAAGTTGTCCCAGCTTTCATTATTATGATAATCAGAAAAATAAGTAACCGCACAAAGCCTGTTGTATGTTTTTTTGTTTTTCTTTAATGCATAGGAAATAATGTGAGAGTTGTAGGGTTCTATTCTTTTTTCATTGGGCAATTTTTAGTGCAATTGAAGTGATACAGTGAAGAAAGATTTAAAATTGTAAGGACCTTACCTTCATCATCCATAACGAAGCTGGAGGAAACCCCATCTGTGTCACTAACTGAGATAGAGTAAGTTCCCAAGTCTGATTTATCAGGATTTTTGAAGTACAGCTTAGAACTGAAACCACCAATGAAGAAGAATATAATTAGCTGGTTATCATATTTTTAACACAACTTACTGATTTCCTTTGATAGATTGCCATGACTTACTGATTTCCTTCTGTTTCAATCTTAAACTTATGAGAATCATCAATCTCCTCATAAGATTTACCCCATGCAAAATGAGATGCATCTGTTGCTTCTTTGCACTCAAAAGCCAGGTAAATATTACCCTCATCATCCACACCTGAATAGATTTCTTTCGTTCCTGCAAAATAAGCATCAACTCAAATGTCAAGACTGCATTTTTCTGTCAAGGTGCAAATCATAAATTACTAAAGCCCATATCTATTTTGTCCTAAAAGATACTGATTTTATTAGCAGGTCTTAAAGCAGGTTTATGTCATGTGCTGACTCAGCATCACATGCTAGTTTCTTACTCTACATGCAAGAAAGGAATGATAGTACTAATAAATGCTTATTGAGAAATAAATGAATAAGATATAACTTAATATGAAAAGACATGAATGTTTAAACAAATCAATTTTATTGTCATTCCTGGATCTTTAACAAATGTGTTGTCACACCAAGTAGCACCTCCGTTAGAATAAAAACCAGAATAACTGATTATCAAATAACTCCTGCAGTAAGTAAAAGAAAAAATTCTGATCAGTGTCTCTGTATCCACATGACTTTTTCTTTAAGTTTTAAGGCTAAGAGCTTCTTAATTCTTTAAATACTTATATGTGATATAATATCAAATTAGATTGACTAAACTCAAGTATTTTCGTATTTTAGAAACAGAGGAGATTAAGCAGATCATGTTACCTGGCCGTTCCTCAACAAGCACTGGTTCAGATATCTCAGATGACTTGCCTATCCCAGCATCATTCACTGCACGAACTTTGAAAACATAGGTATGACCCTCATGTAAATCAGTGACCTTAAACAAGATAAAGGGTGAAGCCAATTTAAAAACAATCTAAATTATTTTGTTTACCATATGAAGATATTAGCAGAAGCTGAAGTTCGAATACATATCTTTTGTTATACTCAATCAGAACTTCCAGTACTCAGTTTTATATTAGTGTTAATTAATGAAAGTGTTACCTTAAAATAGCGCTTTGGAGTAGGTTTTTCATTAGCAGTGATCCAGTCTTCTGAATCTACTTCTTTATAGTCCACTAAATACCCAGTAATAGGGCTTTTGCCTTCATACACAGGAGCTTTCCACAGAAGAACTAGTGAAGTATTTCTAATTTCACATATCATGAGATCATAGGCAGGACCTAAAATATTTCAAATATTGGAAATTTATTTCAATACAATTAAATTTCCAAGCTGTCTCTGTAGAGGCTAAAATGTATCACTATAATTGACTATATTTGCTTTCAAAAATCTCATCCTTTACAATACACCTGGTATATGTGGTGTTTAGGTAATTTTCCCCTCATGGCTGTATACAGCAATACCTCCCTTATACAGTGAGTGACATTAGTATTCTGAAGCATAGTTTCTTAGCTAGATCTCAGTAACTCTATTTTAAGGTGAAGTTAATCATGTGGAAAATCCATGCAGTTTAAGATTTTCCAACAAGCAGGAGAGGCTTCTTGTCTATTATTTAACTCACCAGCCTCACATCAAAGTTGCTTCACTGAGCCTGATTCAGGTTAATAATTTAACATCAGGATTTTTATCTTTTCATTAGTATACATTGACCATGATCTTTCAAAGTAATCCAAAATTCAGTGGCACCTGGAACTTTGGATCAGGCTTCTTGTTCCCTGACAGAAGAATTTTTATTATGAGCTGGATAGCTGCAGCCAATAGGAACTTCTCAGGATGAATGACATCTGTTAGAAGAAAAATTTAAACCAAAAATACCCTGATATTCTACAAATAAATGAGAGTTTATGTTCCTCCTACTATACTTTCCTTCTTCTTCACCTAACTGTTGAAGTGCCATTCAGTCTAACTTATAGAAATTATTTTTTACTATACTCTTGATAATTATTTACACTAATAAATAAATATAAATGCAAAGGCATAGTCATATAAGTTTCCTACCATAGTCAAACAGTCATGACAGAATATCTATATTCAGTCAAATTATGTAGCTTGCTCCTTGTGCTTTAGACGTAGAGCAAGGAAAGATGAAGACGTTAAGATTAACTTGGCACTTAGGGACTTCCTCAGTTTTTCAAGACATTAATTTTCCCTACAACACATCTTATCACTTAAAATAACAATTAAAAATCGAGTGAAAAGCCTTACAAATAAATCTGATTGCTATTCCAGCCTACATGATGTTAACCAATGTTGAATGAAAATAAAATTTGTAAAGGATGATATTAAGCAAATATACTCGGCGAAAGAAAGAGACTGGAAAAGTTTTTCTCCAAAGTAGATAAACACATTTCAGAAATGAAGCATATTATATACCTGTTGCAGCCTTTATAAGGATAAATATTAGATTTCTCATGGAAAGACTTCCATTTTCAAGGATCCTAAAGCCCTCCCTCAGGGCTCTTTAAAAATCCCAATCTGAATGTCTATATATCCACAGTTAATTAAAAATCCACTGTCAAATGGACCCAATAGAAATCTAGACAGTAGAAGGAAAAGTAATGAAGCATGTTCTGTTCTGAGGAGTCTGAGAATAGACAGACATTTCTTTTTATTTAAAGCAATGTAAGATAATCCATTAACTATCATTGCTAACTCACAGAAACTCACAGAGACACTTAAGACTAAAGTTCTGTGGGAGAATGAAATAATTATGAACTCTGGGCAAAGAATCCATCACTTATGCTGGAATTCCTGCAAAAGGTTTTTGGCCTTTCTAAGGAAATCTTCCTTCTGTATCAAAAGGTGAAAGACTATTTTGTTGACACTGGGAGTATATTGCAGTCACATTACATTAGTTCTTTAAAATCTTTAGTCAGTCAGAGAAGAGGGTCAGGCTCTTTTTCCCAATCTTAAATCTCAACAATTTATTTTCATTATTGCTAAGCTAATACATTTTGTTCAAAAACGTATTTTTAATAAAGGCTTGTGAAATATTTAACGGTTCGGAGTTTTGAGGGTTTTTGTGGGGTGGGCAATGTTCTTTGCTTGTAGGGGTTTTTTTAAGCAGGAGGAAAGCAATACTGTCTGTTCAACTCATATCATAATGAGAACAATGTAATCAGCCAAACACTAAAAAGGTCAGATTGTTCATTATGGAAATTTCACTCTCTCCATTTCCATTTCTGAAAACACATTTTATTTCATTTCTTTATTTGTCATTTAAAATGAAGGATAATTTTTACTTCTTTACACACTACGTAATTTCAATGATGTTTTGAAAACACTGTAGAGAGCATAAATTGTAGATAATTTCTATAAGAAAAATAATTGTTCAAATGATGATGCATTTACACTAAATATTACCAGATTATAAGAAAATGTAAAAAGTGAAAGTGAATTAAGGTCAGGAGATTAACCATTTCATTATTGACAGTTTGTCATGTCAGTAAATCCATATGGTAAGATTTATGAATTCTGAAGAATTTAGCTAGAAAACATAAAAACAAACAGCTTTTCAACAAAGAATATGGGCATTTAAAGGAATGCACTTGGAACTTAACAACGTAATTTTTGTTTCAGAGGGCAAAAAGGGGGATTTTTAAGAAGGCAAACGACTCACAGGAAGTAGAGTTATAGTTACTCTACTCAGCACTGAAAAATATTTATTTGGAGCAGTGTCTCCAGTTTGTGCACTGCCATTCAAGAAAGAAGTGAACCAACTAGAAAAAGTTAGAAGAAGGGCAAAAACAGTTTTCATTAACAATAAGGAATACATGATCTATAGGGAAGGTTGCAGGAAGAAAGATTCAGGAATGTAAGAGAAACTTTCAAGCTGCAAGCATAGCAAGATTAGGAATGGATCTTTCTCAAGGAACCTTGACATTTCATGAGGAGAAGACTTTAAAGATAGATTAGACAAGCCTCTGTTGAGGAGATAGGTATAGGTAACCTGCAACTGAGCAAGCAGCTGGATTAGATGCCATTTGAGAGTCTGTCCTCATAAACAATTCCATGATCTTACCGAATTTTTTCTTGTTCCTAGTAAGAACCATAGCATATATTTTACCTATAGCATAGAAAAGAAAACAGAAATTTCCCTGCCATGTTATGCCACCTCATTAGTAATTTTGATAGTTTTACAGTTCTAAATTTAGGAGTTTTGTGGGGCTTTTTCTTTACTGAAAAAATAACAGTGTGAATATTTATGCTCAGAACAGATGCTTTAGGTGTCAGACAGTCTCTGATGACATAAACAAGTATTAGAATGGATTTTTAGGTACATACCAAAGATCAGTGTCATATCTAGAATTCAGTATAACAACACAGCAATATTTTACAACATTTGCAGGAAAAGAAGGTGGAAATATTTTGAAGTGATAGGCCCCTGTGTTTTCACTGTGGCCTGTACTTGTGACACACTTGTTTAAGCAAATCAGTCCAGACATCAGAAATAGCTTCAGCAAATGTGTTTCTCAGTATGAGTAACAGTGTTAAAGTGTTATAAAATATGAAAAGAGGACCTTCAGAAACCCTTTCATAGCCTATTTACAGGCCTTGAGCATTGCTGTGGGGAAATAATTCTTTAAATGTTCACCATTTAAAATATATAAAACATACTATATAAAAACATAACATATATACATAGCATATATATTATATATTATGTATCACATAGCAAATTTATATGCTCACATGAGGTTGGTTACAGTTTAATTTCCCTTTGTTGAGGGTCGCAAATTCCAGTACTTATAATTGCAATTAATACTCTTTGGCTACATCTGCACTGCCAAACTACAGACAACCTAAACACGGCTTGAGTACTAGAGCAGTCACTCCTGCTGTATGTTTGCTAGCACGTTTGTTCTAACACCTGGTTAATAATCTCTCAGGTAACACTTGGGTACAATCTAGGGGAAATACACATATATGGGTAGACTATTTGAGAATAGACTAGCTGTGCCACTTGTCTCTACAACAAGAAACAGGCCCCACTTATGTGTTATTTATGACTGAGAGCTAACGTCATTTTGGAGTCTGAAACTCCAGGAATATTCTTAATAGAGACTGCATTTATGGTGCAGAGATATTGTACAGGTGGTGAGTGTGAGATGGAGCTTGTAGGGTTGAAGAGGTGATAGAAACATATAAAGGCTCAACATTATTTTGAGCTGGTGAGAGCAGTGAAAGAAAGGGACACTTAACAAGCTAAATAAAGGTCATCTATTTCCCAGGATACTCAATGCCATCACTGGAGGTGTGGAGGTAACTTTTAACAGATCTCAGAACTAAGGGCAATCTCAATGGTTACTATGGAAGAAATTAAGCAAAAGACATCCTGCAGAACTCTGTGGTTGTGTTTTAAGGACTTTGAGATTCATGCAGAACTAATAGACTTACCAGGTTCTGGCATAGTCCAGGCTTTACATTTAAAATGCTCACTGGGATCTGAAGGTTGACCTATTCCAACCAGATTTGCAGCAGCAACTTTGAATTCGTAGAAGGCATCTTCAATCAAATCCTCTACCTTTTTGCATTTGAGAAAACAATTCAATATATCAAAAGCCACGATTTATATTCATTTAATAAATACTTGAATATAAACATTAGTTAATTAAGTACCAGGCCTTACTGCCATGCTGAAGGGTCTAATTGGAAGATTTTACTCTTAAACCAAACACACTGCAGAGTTCTATATTTTATGTCCACGTTTCAGTCACATAATCCTATGAATAACAGCACTCATATATTGGCATGAAAAGCTGTAAGAGCTTAGAGCAAAGGTTCAAGGAGCCCAATCAATGAATGACCCACAGCAGATACTTATGGGTGAGTGTTCTAAAATGAGATACCTTCTTGCATTGCTTGTGAATGGCTGTTCATAAGCCATTCACTTAAGTAAGAGTTTGAATTGAGTATTGGTTAAAAAGGTTACAATGGACTGACCAATGAAGAAAAGGAAATCATAGGAAACTAAAAGAAAAAACAATCCAATTGGTTCCACAATGTGTTGATATAACTCCAGGAAAGACCCTCTCAATAGTATTTCATGGCTGGTACAAATCTTTCTCTTTATGTTGGTACTATTACAAAGTGAGAAAATAAGCATTGGCAATGGGATGAGCAGAATCCATAATATTCCTCTACAAACATCCCTGGTAAGTGAACTGTGAATTATCTAATGAGCCCGTCCCCACAACACCATCTCAGATTTTGAGATCAAAGTAGAGGACTAAAAGGCATGAATGTCTTGACACCCAGAACACCTCATGTCAGCAGCTCTCTTCTATCCTTCTTCTTCCAGAACACCTAAATACAAAAACCAAGTCTTCTACACCTGATTCTTCTGAATGATTTTCCCACAATTATATTTAATCAAATGTCTCAAGAGAGACAGCTGAGACTAGTACTCCTAGTGGAGATGCCAAACAGTTTAGGATTTTCATGAATAAATAGTTCTCTTTGAAAATGTGAGATAAAAAAGGATTTTGGTGTCATTTTTTAACAATAAAAAACATGTGATGGTAACAAACATAGGGGGTAGCATCAAATACAAAACCAAAGCAAACAAGGTAACACAGAAAAGTTAGGCACTAAAATAATTTAGACAGAACTTCCTGAAGACAAGGAGCTTCACTCAAGCCACAAGACAGAATAACAGATCAGCCTGTAAAAATTATTTTAAAATCCCAGGTTATTAAGGGAAAGAATATTTGTGGAGTTCCCATAGAATTATTTAATCAGAGAAGGTTAAACTTTTAGTGATTTCCCAGTGCTGCACTGAATATCTCGGGCATTCTCTGCTTGCAGTATGTCATAAAATATTCTTTGCTACTAAAAGCTGTCTTGGTTTTATTTCCCATCAGTATTTCAGAATCTAGTCATTCAAAGTAATGTACGAAGATGCACCTTTAGGCATAAATACAATTACTGGCAGGATTGACACTTAAATATCTAGTTAAATTCTCAGTGGTGGCCCCTAATTTACATTACTCATTTGTTTACATTAAAAATAAAAATATGTTGAAAGAATTGCTTAGTACTGCCCTTTCATGCCTACCCTACCTGCCCTTTTTTATTTCTCAACATCTATGCTTCATCTGCTATGTCAGAGATGCCAGTGATAGAATCAGTCACAAGCACACTTGCATCTGAGCACTGCTGCCTGCCTTCTATGCATGAAACATTCTTCTTCAGCTCATCTGCATCATTGTCTTCTATTTCAGTGTCAAATACCTGCAAGACTTACTTCTGCCCTAGGGTTTACAGAAAATTTGCTGCCTTGCAGAAATGAAATTGTAAGTATTAGTGAGTAAAATCTGATTGTTTAACTTAATTTAAAAAGCATCACATTATTGATTACTTGCTATGTCCTATCTCCCTAACTTTTCTTCATGGAAGTTCACATCCAGATTTTCTTATTTTAAGAAACATTTAATATATTGCAAATGCAACCAGAAGTAATTTATTTCAAAACTGGTATTTTGTAAAGGAGGTGATGAGACAGAAGGCTGAGTTTATTAATATACATTCTTTTTCAGCTGAAGGCAGATTTTGAGAGTAAGAACAGGGACAGTTACAGTTTTCTTCTCAACCCATCTTCGTTTCATTTTCAAGTCCTCAGTTCTACAGAGAGCAGTTATCTGTCCTGCTAAATGCTTCCATCCTTTCTCTGTGTGTTATTATAGTGATGATATATACAGTGACCATTAATGAAAATAGCTTGTGGAACATTTTATAGCTCATCTTTTTCCTTCTGAAAAATGTGTTTCACACTTTTCCCTAAAAAATTTTCTTATCTGAATGGTCTTATTCCTATTATAATTTCATAGTAGGGGATGGCACTGATTCTTTAGCCCAGGTTTAACCTTGTTGTATTCTGAATGGAAGTATTGAACTAAGTATTTAAAGAATTTCTCTGTTACAAAAATCTGAAGGAAAAATCCAAATTAACTCCAAAAATATAATGATCAAAAAATACTAACCGTATAAATCGTCTGGGTAATAAGGGAAGAATTTACTTCATGCCAGTTTTGATGGTTAGCTTCCCGTTTATCCATATAATAACCAAGGATTGGTGAACCTCCACTGTATGTTGGTGCTTTCCAGCCAAGTGTCATTGAATGTCCATCACAGTTCAGAAGAGTGATACCATGAGGATATGAAGGACAAGCTACAAGAAAATAAGCAACCTGAGAGTTAGGACAGAGTCTAAAACACTGCAGTGTAGAAGTTGCTTCGCATTTTTTATATTGCTTCTATTTTCTGCAGCATACTGCTCTCAGCTGCATAATGATAGCAAAGAAGTTGTAAAGTTGCTAACCAACATTCATTTTATCACCATATATAAACATGGAAGGTTTTAAAACATCTGCCTAACATTTTTCCCTCTCAGAAGGTAGCAAGGAAGAATAGATGATCTTTGCAGGGAAATAGTAATGTTAGCAAGTGTCTCCAGACCAAAAATCATGCTAAAAGATTTAAATGGGTCAACGATCTCTTCCTAGTAAGAAAAATAGAAGCTGCTCAAATACTACTGGAATACAGTAAAAATCATCCAATTAAAAAAAGAAAGTAGATGATAAACTTGAATGAAATTAAGTCATATGACTGACTGATCTATGGCCACCACAGTTTTCCTGTTCTACCCTGATATATATTTTATTCAGACTGTGACTGCTCTTTGCCCTAGAAAGAATAGAAGATATTTGGACTTTCAGTGGCTTAACCTATGTTGAGGCAGGAAAGTAATGTCCTTCATGAGGTTACTTGCATGAGTTTAATTCCTTCTGTAGCGGAAGCAAAAATGTCACCAAGGCACTTTCCTAGGTTTGAAGAAAACCCTTTTTCTGAGCTTTTTAATCCCCTCCTACTGGGAAGCACCCCTTGTAGCAAGCAGTTTTGTATTTAACATCCACACTTGAAAGTCTGCCCAAAGTCTGCCCAAAGATACTGCCTTCTTGACACTGGGGCGCTTCAATCAGTACAGCTAACACCTGCCCCTAAATCTGATCTAATACTTTCAGTTGAATTAACAGTATAACTTGAGAGAATGTAACTTACCTCATTCAGAAGAGAATATATTAGCAAAGGCCTCAGTGCAGTCTCTGATCTTGTAGCTGTACTAGTGATCACCATGAAAACCGATAGCAATCAGCAGAACTGCCCTTTCATTCTTTTTATTTTTTTTCCCCCATATATGGTGCTATACTCAGAGGTCAAAAAATGTAGCCTTTGTGTTTAGTGCCACTTCTTGGTAAATAAAAATGACCATAGCAAACTCCTGTAAATAGTCTTAAAATAATGCTACAGAAAGATTCTGGCCATGCTAATGTTGAGTCATCTATGAATAGTCCTGCTATATTCCTGTAAAGGCCACAAAAATGATAAAAGCCGTTCACATCTCATAAGTGTGTGTGTAAGATCCACGTGCTCTGTGTTTGATACCCCATGCAACCCTCATCTCCAAAGCACACAGTGACAAATAGGTGCAAGTGCATTTACAACATTGTGTGATAGATGTGCAAGTGTCCATGCACCACCTACCCATGTGAGACACACTTCTTCCTAAAAAAGTCAAATAGAGTAACTTTGTCAGCAACATACAAATTTACTTTCTGTTGACTACCCTGAATTCTAAATCTTTTAGAGGATTATTTCTCACAAGTGTGTCTACTGGTTTTCTCCAAGAGTAGAGGGCACTCTACTGGGGAAAATGTGTCCTATTTAAAATTTTTCTCTATGGAGCTTAATTCAAATTGAACCATGATAGCCCAGATCTGTGTACTCTTTGTTGTAAATTCAACCTTTCCCTCAACATGTACCATTCCCACTGAAGGTTGCACGACTGATCTTACACAGAATTTTGTTTGTAGTACACCAGGGGAGGTAGATTGTGCTCCAACCTGGAGCAAAAAAAGGGGATTTTCTGTCTGGTTCAGCTACACAGTGATAAAGCTTATTGAAACTCTTCTAAATGGAGCAGATTCCATGCTTAAATGTTTTGTACCACTCCAAGTCACTCAGAAACTAATCGTCTAACTTAATCAATATTTAAATTTCTTTGATACAGCCTAGGAGCAAAAGGCAACTTAGTCATTAAAGTGCATTTTACCCAATATTTCTAACAGTCACTACAAATAACTTTTTTTTTTATAAAACAATGTCTTTTCTCTACCATAGCCACATGCCAGAGAATAGACATCATTAAACAGATGTACATGACGGCTGCAAGGTATACTATTATATAAATCAGACCAAAAGAGATGATTGCTGAAAATATGTCTCTCATTCTGGAAACAAGAAGCTGAGTTACACAGAATCACACTTACTAAGAGCTGCCTGAACTGTTACAGCCTCTGACTCCTGTGAGTTTTCACTCAATCCCAGAGCATTTGCAGCTTTCACACGGAAGACGTATTGCTCTCCAGTTTCCAAACCATGAACAACAAACCTGGGTTAAAAAAGACAGCATCACAAATTAGTTTATACTTTACAGGAATCATTCTATGCTGTAACATTAAATTGTTGTATCAAATAAAAAGTTCAACTTCATGAGTGCTTCACAAAGGAAAATATTTCCAAGAGGGAAATTGCAATACAATGGCATGATGTGGTACAGTGTAACTCAATGGGACACTGTAGCAAAAATCGCAGTACAGATTGTTAGTACTGATCTAGCAGATGAAGTCAGATAAAACATAATATATTCCCTCTGAATTTTGGCTTGCTAAATACTAATCTATTCTGGGAAGGAACCGTATTTTCCGCTGTAGTTTTACAGTCATTGTCAAAAATAGTTTTCAGTTTTGATCTGAGGTTATAGGCAATTACTGTACTAAATAAAATACTCAGAGCTATCCTATAGTAAGATATGTTCACGTATGAAGAAATGAAATGTTTTTTCTTATTTTTGTGCTTTCTCAACCCCCTTTGACCAAGAATTAGTCTCTACTTTTCCTTTAATCATATTTCTCAACTACTTGAAAAAAGGACTCATCAGAATACAAAGTCGCTCAGTTAATGACTGACATAATACACTAAGCAAAATGACATGCTTGCTATAGAAAATACGAACTACAACTCTAAACTTTGCATTTGATGATTGATTCCAATAAAAATAAGTGTGAATTTTCACAGAGGAAATTGCTTGAAAAATTTATTCATGCAATAATGAAGTTTGATCTCTTCAGGAGGGAGTAAGGGTCTAGTGTCCTATATCCAGAGATGTAGCAGCTCAGGTAGCTCTGATATTTCTGGAATGGGACACTTGGCTTTCCTGCACAATAGTGCCAGCTGCCAAAGCACTTTCACCATCATATTTATAGCAGAAATGGCCTGACCTTTTGCTCTTTTATTCATGGACAATAATAAAGTTTTAGAATTCCCTCTCCTTTCTCATACTCTTCCTCATCAGGTCTGTTTACTCCACAACAAAATTCATATTTTAAAAGGGCATATTTTGCACTTAATCATGTCCAAAACACTCAGAATCATGTCTCTAGAGTCTGCTTTTAAAACTCAAAATCATGGAAGAGAAAAGAATATGATTCTTCTTGGAGAAAAAAAAAAAAGTTGAGGAGAATTGTCCTGCAATTTGGAAATCTTGGCTCTGCAGTCTGCAGACTGCTGTTCTTCACATTCATTCAACATTCTCTTTCTACTATAACCCTGTGGCTTAGCAGATGAAATGTCTTTAAAATATCCCACAGTTTTCAAACTTCACAGAAATAGATAAATATCATCAATACCTGTTATATTTAATAGGTTTATGGTTACTGGGTTCCCAGCGATTTGATCCCACCACAGAATAGTCAATGTAGTAGCCATATAAATCCTCTTCATGTTTTGGTTTATCCCATTGAACTACAACTGATGTTTTTGTATTCCTTGTGGCCACAACTTGACCAGGTGCAGATGGCAAAACTAAGAAAAAGAGATAAAACATATACTATTAGAAAATACATAAAAATCAAAGTAATTTGAACTAGATGAAACACTGTATATTTTGATCATATTTAATCACTGAAGATATGTCTACTCCTACCATGTTAATATTGATATGTGAAATGTATTTTAATTTTTTTTTCACTCTAAATCTGGATACTTATATATATGTGTATATATAAATATATTTATTTTTCTATTTTTTCTCATAATGCTCTAAGCTGTGGTGCTCCTTTCCTATATGATGTTATATAGGTTTTATGATTGTCAATTATAGGAATATATTTTTTCAAATATGAGTGTAGATAAAAACATACAGATATTAAAATATTCACTCTCAAATTTCTTTCTCAAGTAAGAGTTTGATGTATAGCTTGTGTCCCTGTAGCATTACTGTCAGTAAGAAATGTACATAAACTATAGAGATATGATATCATGAGGATTAAGTAATACTGTCTTACAGTTAACTAATGACAGCCCTGATTCCAAAAATATGACCTTTTCAGAACAACTTTGAGCATTTATTTGAATGCCAGAAGCTTATCTAAAAGTAGCTAGATGAATGTCATAGAAGCATAGGGACACTGGCTGGAAGGGATCTCTGGGGATTATCTAGCCCACCCACCCTATCACTGGGAGTGGGATCATCATCAATACTAACCTAATGAATGTCTCAGTCATGGATTTGTACGAGTCTTGAGACCTGATAATGAAGATTTCACAGCTTACCTGCACAACCTTTTCCAGTAATTCACTCTTGCACCTTTCTCAGCAAGAGTATATCCAGAATGAACTTGTCATTTGGCAATGCTGAGAAGTTTGACACCATCATCTTTGTAAGTCTTCAAACTAAATAAACACCTCTCTTCATAGCTCACAATCTCTAATCCCCTGGTCATCTTGGTTGCCATACAGAGGACCTCTCCACTTTACAACCATCTCACTTGTCTAAGGAAGCCAGAACTGGGAAACAATACTCCAGGACAAACCTCAACACCACCAAGAAAAAGACAGCAAAGCTTTCTTCAATCTGTTGACTACAGTTGTCCCAATGTACCATATTATGCGGTTTACTTTATGTGCAAAGAAAGTTCCTTGTCAGTTTACACTGATCTAAACAGGTGAATGTGCATAAATAGTACCAGAAATATTGAGATTCAAATGGAAAAAAAAATTCTTAGTAAGAACCAGCACACAGTCTGTACACTATAAAAAAACTGAGCTTTCACGATGTGAGAAACTAAAGCAATGTCTCAGCCTAGCATGACAGGTTAAGAGAGGCACCCAGTGCTCGCCTTTTGAAGGTATTTTAGTTTCCTCAGATGAATATTGCAAAGAACTGCAAGCAGCATGAAACAAAAGAAAGGCAGCATGATTTCCACTTAGTCTTTCAATATTAAAATAAAAATTAATACTTACACGCCACTATACTTTATGCAATAAATTTGTAAGATCAAATTGGTTCAGTCTCATAAATGTACCTACATTTAAGGTTTGATGTGTGTCTACAAGCACGTATTCTTGAGTTGCCACTATAGTCAAAGAGCTATGGCTTAACTCAGTTGCACAGATAAATGAATTTAGGGTCATTTTGGATCAGCTGTCACTTCTTCATGGAGTTGTCAGATACGACTCGGGAGATAACACCTACAATCCTCTGAAATGGCAAAATGGAAGCATTTGAAAAGGATGTCTCTTTGGTAAGTTAAATTGAGCCTTCCATCATGCTTGGTAGGGTCCTGAAAATTATTTATCTCACCCCAAAACAGACGTTCTACAACTGGGTGACATGGAGCAACTTATGACAACATCAGCCAACTTATGTTCCAGGCTCCAATTGCCACAGTCAGAGCAGAGGCATCTACTGCACCTGTAGATACCTACATGAAAACTCCTACATTTAGATTTTAATCTTAAACTGAATCCTCTTGTACCACTCAATTAAGTTGCATCATTTTAAGTGTCATTTAGGGTGGCCTAGGATACCCCAACCATTCTTTAGTTTCTGCTCATAAGGTACCCATAACCACTGTGTAATAATTGCTATCCCCATGAAGGTGTCTCAGTCAGCCTTAAGAATATCAAATGACACTAAATGCAGGCAAATAAAAGGAGCTGTGTGTTTCTGGTACATTTTAGCTCAGATGGCAAACTGTCTCTGAAAATACTCCAGAAATTTCTCATTAAAATAGGTTCTTCTGCTTTGTGCTTTATTTAAAGCTGTGAGTTATGCAGAAGGTGTTCATTAACCCCTAAGGGATAACATATTTTCTGTACTAAGTACAATAAATACAGTGTTTTTCTTCTCTACCTTGGGGAATGTTGAATGGTTTAAATAATTTATATGCATTAATGAGACATCACATCAAGCCTATATGAAAGCAAAAGATGCTTTTTATCGTGTAGTTATAGATCAAGCTCAAAGTATGGATTTTATTTTTAACTATGGTATATCAGATACTATAAATATTTTGTATATTACTGGAAAGTGTACTAGTAAGATATGTGCACTAATGGTGACAGTTATCAATACATCAAGCTGCTATGTGTGGCTTCTGCAAAACTTGAAAAACAAAACAAATATTTCAAAAACAAGATGAATAACCGCTCCCTAAATTTTTATTTCTGTTTTTGAATGTGAACCCAAGATAAACACTTCATTTTCATTTGGAAAATCACCACTGAATATGTAGTTGCATCTTTCCCTGAAGTCTACTCATCTGTATGACACAGGAATAGTGCACCAGTAATAATTTGCAACTCAGAATACTAAGAAAGAAATGAAAGGTTACCTTATCTAGCTGAAATGGTAGGGAATTAGGTAGTATATAATTACCTGAGCCAGAAAATACAAGTCACATTAATAGAACACTGAAGAGTGAATAACTAAAAATAATTTAACTTTACACTAATTATTGTTTTCAGTAGTGAGGCTTGTGATCACTAAGAAAATTCAGGAAAGTCTAAAATTTAACATCTTGGTATTTTTTAAATCCTTCACAGAACTGAACACAAAGTCGAATACTATTATTGCAATTATAATCTAATGAGAGTTGTCTATTCCTGACTTGTAAAATATCTAATGCTTTTAATATTAACGCCTTACAATTAATACCTTACCAATAGTATCTTGTGGTTGAATAGGTTCTGTGATTTCAGACGGATCACTGATGCCATTTTTGTTTGCTGACAACACTCGGAAAACATATGGTTTTCCTTCTGCAAGGTCAAACACTGCATAGCGAGGAGATTTTACTGCAACCTGTGCATTGACTCTTTGCCAACTTCCACTGCCAACCATGGACTACAAAAAACAACAAAAAAAGGCCATGAATCATTTTTGTGAACTGTCAAAACTGAACATATTGCTGTATTGCATCCTGTCATGAATTTATTTAGGAGCTATGAGAGAAGGATCACTCTCAAATGCCTGACTTAAACATATGCAAATTTTTACAGCTCGTGCATTCCATTACTCTTCAAAAAGGTCTGAAGAGCTCACTGTCTCCTTGCCTGTCTTGACTTCAATACATGCACACTTGTACATACAGCCCGATTTCTTTTAGGGCTGTGACTGCCAACTGTGATTGGTCCCAAAAGAATTGCTTTCATGTCCTGCAAAACTCACGTGAACACCCAAAGGTTTCGAGTCAAGCAAACAAGCCCTAATCCAAATTCTAGAGAAAGGTAAGGAGGGAAACGTTACTTTATTTACAACTTTATCTTTATTTATTATGTTGAGCAAGGTCATGCCCCTAAAAGCATTTATCAAATGAAGTAATTACTTTTGAGCATTCTCAGTGCAGCAGCTGAGCTTATCATCATCACAACTGCACATGGAGGAGAGCCAGCAAATCAGTGCTCTGAGAGAAGTCTGCTGCCCATTAGATTTCCCACATAAACTGTTTAACCAAATATTAGTCATGCAATCTTTCAGAAGTTTTGGTAAAACCCAAGTGCATTATAAACAGATTGAAGAAAACTTCCTTGGCACATAGATAGGTTCATACAAATTATATGTTTATAAAATTTTGGAACAAAAAAATCTGGAAACAAAATCTAATAGACTCTGCATTTCTTAGAGGAGGAACAGTGTTTCATGGGTGTTTGGAAACTACCCTGTATGTAGTGACACCTACCATAGACAAATACTAATGTAAACAGCTGGAGTCCATATATCAAAATCTTTCTCATAGGTACTGAACCCACCTAGTGTTCTCAACAACAACAAAAAAAAGAAATATAACATCAATTTTCTTCCTAATAAAAAGATGCAAAATATGAAATAAATATTAAGATTCCATATATCTTACTTCCTGCCACGAAAAACAATAATTTCTACTGTTCACAAAGAATCAGCATCACATTTTGTTCTGCAGTTTGATCTGATTTATACGTTTAAAAAGTATTTCAAGAGAACATAGAAAACTCATTTCCATTGTGTGTCTCTTGAAGGCTTTACAAATATATTTTTATTCTTCAGGACTGAATTTTCTTTATTTGAAATAAAATAATTAGAAACTGTTGCAAATTAACAGATGACAGTACAAAGCAAAAAAAAACTTTGACCTATGAACTGACTAATCTTTTCATATATATCATTTACGTGAAAAGATTTTATATTCAGGTATTCATTAGTACAATGAACCTCTTTTTTCTAATAATAGCTCTTTAGTCCTCATTCTCACTTTCCTTCACTAAGTCTACTGTTTAATTGAGACCTTTTTTTTTTCATCATAGTCACTGCTCTGTACTGTTTCTGGAGCTATATATACTTATCTGTATAAAATAAGCAGATAATATATATTCAAATGAAATTCAGCTACACCAGATGTAGGTGTCCACTCAATGGAAATCTACCTCTGAGCTTTCTATCTGGGTTATTCTGGAACTAGAAAAGTATTTCCAAGACAAGAGCTAGTTCAAAATCCTTACATTGATATTCTTGAATTTTATAAGCAAGCCAAGACATATGTAACTGGGAATAAATGCAAGAAAGGCATTATATTTTATTGCATAGAAAGAAAAACTAGATACTTATTTCTATGAAAATTTTCATTCTTCTTCTTCTGAATATATAAGGCGGAGCAGGGTCATGCTTGTTGCAAAATTTAACCAGTGAGTGGTGTTCACTTTACATCGATTTGTTCAACATCCAGCAAGTAATGGATGATGAAGAATGCAGAAATGGCCTATGGAGTTCTTTAGAAGTGGAGGGGTTTGTGTGTGTCTGAGACGGAAAAGACAAGCTGGGGGGCTGCAAAAAGAGGAGTGATATGAACAGGACAGCTGGGAAATGAACTGTAGAGGAATGTGCAGAATTTTAGATGTGAGAAGAAAAAAATTGCATAGTAAGGATCTGAGAAAAGGATGTTACAATATTCATGGTGTAAATTGAACATGTGGCAGTTTTATGAAGAATAAGGTTTGGTGTTTGTGGATTGTTAAGAGAGTGCCTATGCTAGAGGCATAATTCATAAAAACTAAGTATAGCTTGACCTGTTCTAGAGGTGAGGTATGAGGCCCATTTTATTTACTGGGAAAACTTAGCAGCAAGTTGCTGTAATCCAATATAATTTAGAAAGATGGCTCAGGGATAGATTTATCTAAATTTTATTCACTTAGGTGGATGAAGAACAAACCTCTCGTACTGTGAATACTGAAGTCCCTTTTCAATTCAAATAGAAGAGGAAGGCAGCCATGAAGAGTACCAGGGACCAGTGAACCTGAGACAGGAATCTGCCTCTTTGCTGACCTTATAGGGGATAATTTAGAAATGTCAGTGTATAGTAGAGGCTGCCATAAGCCTGCAAAAAGTGAGGACCAAATTATGAATTACTGGTTATTCACTGTTTTTTCCTTGCTCTACCACAGGACTAACAGAAATTTCCCTTTATTATAGAAAGACTGAAAATTTACAATCATGCCTGTAGGACTGTGGAAACTATAGACATTTCTCTTTTTATTTTTTTAACTGCTACTTTACATAATCATTTGTTCCCATTTAGACAGCAGTAAGCAAATAGCATAGGGGCATCCTTCTCTCTGGACCTTGAACTTCAATGTTCATTAAAACTTGCAGTAAGACATTTGATTATCCATGCTTCTCTAATATCCCACTTCCAAATCCTGCAAGGCCACAGAAAGTGTTAGTTTTATTGCTCGTTCTGCAGTTCTGAAAACGGGTTGAGTGTAATTGCACACAGCAACGAAGCAACTTTCAACAGAACACCACTATACAGTGTAGTACCTTCTCAATGAAATATGTCACTGGCTCCCTGCCACGGGGAACAGGTGGATCCCAGCTGAGTACAACATATGTTTTGCTGATTTCTGAAGCATGTACATTGGTGGGAGGGCCAGGAATCTGAACATCTCCTGTAAGATTAATAAATGTAGCAAGTGTTAAACAGCAGATTAACTCCTGGGTCAGCATTCATGCTACAGCTCATCTTTCTGATTCAACTTTCCTACCCTGCACTGCAATGCTCAGCTGTCAGGAGCTGTGATATCAGATCACCTGATCAATTAAATTTTGATAAATAAAACTTCAGTATTAATAGCTAGTTACTTACTCTTTCAGTAAAGGTTAAATGTACTCCCTGAAACTATACATTTGTCACACTTTTTTCTGTGATCACAGAAAAATTACTTCAATCTGCTAGTGAAAAGTTTTCTCACTATATGCAAACATTTTTTGATCAAAGACAGAAATCTAAAGAGTTATGAGAAATTAGAATTAAAAAATAGCTGGAAGAGAAGTACAATCAGAAAAACACCTTTAAAACAAAGAGGAAAGCAGGAAAAGGAGCAGAACCTATTGGCAATATATCATATAGCATGATGGTATTATCAGCTGTATAGTCTAAAGCACTTCTAAAATCTGTGAGTCAGAGACATAAAAATATGTCACTACCCTATGATGGCTCCACCTCATACTATGGCCTCATCAAATCCCTGTCCCCACTCACTCTGCAGAGTTACCAGCAGTGTTAGACACAACCTGCCTACCCTGGGCCAGGCTGGAAGAATTCAGCTCAGCCTTTCGTGGTCCTGCTCACTGACCACAACGTGAGAAAAAGGTGGTTCTGCTATCCAAGGAATTACAATGTGGTAAAACAGCACGAGATGGGAGAGGGACGTGTGATGGACCTGTGATGGACCTCTACACAGGCACAGCTACACAGCCCTGAAGAGGCTTGGACTTGGTAGTACGTCAGAAATAGCAACTCAGCAGACACCTAAAAATTTTATCTTTATGGATTGTGATAGAAAAAGAAAAAAGCTTTGCTCTTTGAAGGCAAATTTTTCCACCTCATAGGCTAAGAAAAGAGCATATGTCCTCTAAATAATTAAGACTTGTCTTTAAAAAAGAAAAAATATTTCAGTAATAGTCTCTAAATCATGGCAGTGATATTTTAAATGACTATACATATCTGTAGAATGAACCAGGCTGAAAATGTACACTGATATTATTTCATCATATATATACCAAACCAAAACTAAACCTTTTTTAAAGAAAACTGATATATCCAATGAAAATTTATTTGTATCAATGCTTTCTATATTTGATTTCCTACAACTGTATTTTTTATTTCAGAAAGGCACATTAATCAGCTGAGTTTAAAACAAAATTGACAGCATATAGTCCAGAAAATTACAATAATCCTTCACAGCATTAAGACAAAAGGCTTCCAACTGATTTCAGGCAACGAAATCTCAACTTGTTTTCTTTCATTCTTGAAAAAAAAAATCTCCCATACTTTGTAATGGTATAACATGGTGGTATAGGATGGTTGCCAGAATGGGACATCAGCCTGCACTAAAAAGGAAAACCATTTGTGATTTGTGAGATTGCTCTTTCAGAAATAGTCTCCGGTCTTGCAGATGAAAGTAGTGATTTACATAAAGAGTGATATTTGAATATTCATAGTCTATTAAATATGCACATTCATGTGACAGAAATCCAAATATCATTATTTATGACTATTCCAGAGTGGCCATTTACTGGACCTGATCATTCTAAGGCAATCCTGAGAGCAGAAGAATGATCTGTGAAGCAAAACAAGACAATTAAAATCTGACATTGTAATGTGACTCTGATCCTATAATAAACATATCAATTAATTTAGGGTACTATTATAAAAATAGAGAAACTTCATCTGTCCTGTCCATGCACTGGGAAAGCCATTTAATGTCTGATTCTCCTTCAAATTACATCTGTTCTCCAGTGATTTCTCTTCTACTGTGTTATTTTTGGAGTTTCAACTTTATAACCTTTGTGGAAGAGTGCAGACAAAACACTTTTTTAAAAAAAATTTGAGCCATTACAGTTAATAATTTTAACAGTTTAAGTGTGAAGAAGGTCATTATTCAAGTCTAAAAGCCAAATCATTCCATAGAAAAACAACCATAACCAGAAAAACCTCAAACGTTATCTCAAAAGTTGTCAGGGATTTCTCCTGAGGAAAAACATAACTTAGCCTATAACCTTAAGAATAACCTCTGTATTTAGGTAGAGATATTAATTAAAGAGTTGAGATGGATTGTGTAATTTTTTTATGAGAATGGAAATAACTTGCTCAGATAGTCAAAATCAATCTAAAGAAATTATATGTAGCTCTCAGAAAGTCAGAAAGAGGGGAAATATGGGCAATTGAATGTTTATCCATTTAACTCAGCTTAGCACTAGAAAAAGCAAAAAAGTGAGAAAATGCTGTCAACATGTCATAAAAGTTTTGCTGTTGAGAGCGTGATGTTCTCCATCCTTTAGACCTCACTGTTCACTTGTGTTCTCCCAACCTTGGAAGTCATATGTTCGTTCATTTCTTAATATAGAGACTTTATCACTAGAAGGATTTCTTTTCAAGTTATGTTTCTAATTATAATGCAAAATTCCTGGAGTATAAGCACATGGACTGAAATTGTAGAAATGTTACATACCTTCAAGGTCATCCTTACTGATCACAATCTTTCGCCCTTCATCCACATGAACAGCTGTTAATCAAAATATACAATTAGTTTCTCAAACTAGCTCAATATACTTACAAATTTTGCAAATTATTGTTTGCCACCTGTTCAAAAGCCTGTACAACTCTGTTTCTGTAATGTTGTTATTAAATCTTTCACCACACAGATTCAACTTGAAGTCATGTACTGGTTTATTCACTTCCATAGGAAAACAGGGCATGATAAGACAGAACTATTCAAGAGTCATAATCACAGCAGATGGATTTGATTTTGAGGCAGATTATTAATCAATTGTATCATGACCTGTACTTTTGTTATAGGAATTAATCATACACACATGCATAAAATACATATAAAGGAAACTGCATATTCAGCTCAGATTTCACAGGTAGCATTGGGGCAGTGCTTTAAGGTATTCATAATTACTTTAATTCCCCTCTGACTAAAAGGAGGACACGAAACAGAAGGTGTGCAAGTACATGATATACAGAATCTGCACAGGGGTTTAGGACAAGACTAAGTCAATAAAACTATTCCCTAGAGCAAGCTGACTTACTTTATTCATGGACAAGCTCTCATAATGCTACTTAGCAGTCTGTAGTGAGATATTCAATCAAAGAAAGAAATAAACTCTGCTCCTTATGTTAACTGGGCAAAAATCTTAAATAAATTTAAAAAAAAATAAAGAAAGAAAATAAAGAAAGGAGCCTTGAATAACCTACTTTGTGTTCTCTCCAGGTCCACAGGGTCAAGTGCTGCAACTGGTTCCGAGGCTCGCGAAGGGCGGCTAATGCCAGCACTGTTCACTGCCCTCACACGGAATATGTAAGAACGTCCCTCTTGAAGACCAGTCACAGGATACTTGCAGATTTTTACAGGAGCATCATTGCACTGGACCCAGTTTTCCAAACCTACTTCACATCTTGGAATAGCAGAAGACAGCATTTGTCAGTATTATCTCACAATAAATATTCCCCATGATACCATACCAGGTCAGAACCACAGAAGTCACCTTTGCTAGGCTGAAGAGCCAAACCATACATCTCATTAATGAAAGCCACAGACTTTATACAACCTTTTCTGATCAGAGAACCAATTCCCACTCTGTTCATATCTTTTTCATAATGCAAAGGCCATTTTTCTTCCAAGGTTTTTGGCCTTTTCAAATCTCTCTGCTTCACTTCTGTTTGCTTCTCCTCCTTGTCATGTAAAGAATAAATTATTCACTTTCATTTTTAATATTCATCTCCACAGAACATGATGAATTTGCAAGATTCACCTAATCATTTTAATTTCTTCCTCGTCATATTTTCAAGTAAACTTCTTTGTGCCTTTCCCTCCCAAAATGGCTGGACCACAGAGTATAGGAATCATCAAGAAACAGAGTGATGTCCTCATACTGACTGCTTTGTGTATACATATATATATTTTGTGTCCTACTACAATAAACTTTTGTGTAAAAGACTCTCTTTTGCCCTGACTGCACCAGAAAAAATGTCGTGTAATGATCAAGGGCACTGCAGTGATGCAAGCAACATGTTAAATGGCACATCTGACTAGATTACACATAATATAGGTGAAATACTCCTATGATCTATGTATGCATAAATTGGATATAGACGGTAGAGTCCCCAGGTCTCAAGTTAATTTCCTCATACTGACTGCCATTCATAAACCACAATTTTTCCAGTTATTCCCAGACAGTTATCATTGAGTTAGACCAAATGACAGGGTAACAAACAGCAATGAGCTGCAAATGTTGCTTTTAAGTGCAGAGCAGTATACATTATGAAATCATTTCAGTAAAGATTTGAGGCTGACAGTTGCAGACACAAAGGATCAGATGTTCTGCTCTGGGTACAAGGAGCAAGCATTCACTTCAGTGGAAGAGACATGCAAAACAGCACTTGGATCCCCTGCTCGCCAGCTGCCTGCACTGAGCTGAGACCCCAGCAAAGTGCAAAGCTCACTGAAGGACAGAGGTCTGCCAGTCTGATTTAAACTGCAGCTCCCAGGAGTCCAGGCCTTGAGCTCCTGATGTACTACATTTAAGAAAGAAATAAAAAGATAACATAATAACTCCTAGGTTTCAGCTTTTGCAGTATAGAGATTAAAGAGACTAAATCTAATTCAGGATGCCCATGGATTCTAGCTTTTATAAATTAAATACTGTCAGGGCTCATTCTCTGATGTGCCCACATCCATACTATTGAGCATTTTAAGTGTATGATAAAATGTGTCTCTCTGCAAATATTACTTGGAAAGGCCTCCAGCCTTTGTTAATTCCCAGACTGTGCCCAGAATTGCCTGTGAAAGTACTAAATCATCTGGGCTAAAAGTTTGCCAGGGAATAATCTAGTAATTTAACACAATATGTAACTGAGTTCCAGTGCCAAGTGCCTGTAAAATATATCCAAACACACCCACTGAAAGGATATAATGGTATTTTTTTCTCTACAGTATATACATATTTCTGGCAATTAACAAAATTAAATAAATGCTAATGTTTACATACTTGTCAACAAAATATCCAATAACCGGGCTCTCACTGGTTGTATTTGGTGGTTTCCAGGTAACAATAACATAGTCTCTGTTAGCATCATGGCATTTAACATCCATTGGTGCCCCTGGTGCTCCTGCGATCAATGCAGCGGCATCTGGACCACAAACAAAAATCAATTGGTTTTAACCCCAACTCCTCTGACATACATCAAAAAGTCAAAGAGAAGACTTACAGTTCATTGTGCTACTTGTATATATGAATGGAAGCCCAAACATTCATGACATACTCATTCATTGCAATAAGGATTCAGGCCCATAATGTCAATATTTTTATGCAGACAAAATGTTCAAGGATATTTTTGAGAATAGAAAACCTTTTTAGGAACCAAGCACCTCTTCTTTTTTTTTTTTTTTTTTTTTTTTTTTTTGTGAGAATTAAAATCCTAACCCACCCATGTGTTTTTGATGCTCTGTCACACTGAAAGCTGTGACTCAGTGTGTTATTAAGCAGACCAAGGTGCTCAGTAAAAAACATGCAGATCAGGAAAACAAATCTCTTAAAGAATAAAAAATTTTCAAACTCCTGGAACATCTATAATGCTATGTTTTATTTACAGTCTTAGATACCATCTTTAAGATATGCTTTTGTGGCTTCATTTTGAGAGATATTGATTAATCTGGAAGCACAACTCCTAATTAAATCTCATAACAGGTAAAGTTCTCTCCCATCAAATGAAGATTTCTATAACAAAAACCGCAGAGTCTAAATTTATAGAGTCTAATCCAAATCAGCTGTGAAGTAGTTTGTGCTCAGTATCAGAGCACAGCCTACATGAAAAAAGGCAAGAGAATGGCCAACAGGCAGCACTAGAGTCTCCAGAGGACGTAGCACAAGGCCAGGGTTCTGGGCATGCAAAGGGATGAAATATAGTATAAAATGGACAAGAGAGATACCTAAAATTTACCCATCACTACAACAAAAACTTCTAAGAAAGTTTTTATATATTAGTGGGTGTTTTTCGCTTCAATAGTGTCTTTCTTGGAATGTAATCTGGACATAAATAGCTTTAGCAAATTCTTTCTAATGAAATCAGGGTGCTTGTTGAAGAGGTGGCTTGTTCAAGACATACTGCAGGGCTGATGAAGCCTTCGCACTAGTTCTGTGAAGAAGTTGGATTTCAAACCCCTGAAAAAGATATTCTCTCCCTCTACCCCACACAACTGTCTGGATGACACTCCCACAAGGCACATAAGTTCCAATATGTTTCCAAGAAGAACAAATTTTGAAATTAATATAGCTATAGTGGCCTCAGTGGGGCTGTTCCAGTTTTGCCCACATCAAGGATGCTGTCTAATGTATTTAAGAGAGTGAAAGAGCTGCTCAACCAGAAATATTTTTATCTTTCAATGAAAAAATATAAAACTGAATACTAAGTTCTGCTCAAAGGTACATGCAGAAGCTCATTTTTACTTCACTGAGAGTTGTGTGTGGAAACATGATGAAAAGTTCTGACCTTTTTCTATTTTAATCCACTTACCTCTTTTTATCTATGTCTCTTGTGAAAACTGCATTTCTTCAGTCAGCTATTTTCTTACTTTGCTTTTTTTCTCTGGTTAATGACATGACTATGACTGGTATAGTGGTGAGAATATTTCTTTTGCTTTCTCCTGCACGTATCCCTATGGCTGGGCACAAGATACAAGAATGCCCAACACGGCTCATTGCCAGTGTCCAAACTCTGAGGCCAAAACCCTCACAGTGAGAACTGATTGTATGCAAAGATGTTTGTTTCCTACCAGGAAAGGAGATGAAAAAGAAAGAAACAAGTTGTTTCTTCACGAGCACAATTTCTCTGGTTCTTCAGGAAAAAAAATATCCTCAGGAACATGTGCCCTTGAAGCTCCCCATTCACGTAAGGTGACTGATTTTTAGTACAGACTATTATATATAAATCAAATTCTTATGAAATTCCACAGGGCTAAATTTCTTTCATACTTCATTTATTACATGGGACTTTTTCATAAAACTAAACTTTATAATTTTTTTTTAATCTTTCCTCAAGAATCAGATTAAAAGTTTACCTCTTACAAACAGGTATGCACTGCATTCACTGATTCCACCTCTTGAAACCATGCGTAGGGTGTATAAACCTTCATCATCTTTATTGAGATGAGTAAAGGAAAGAGCTGCCTGGCCTTCTCCAAAATACAGCTTTGTCCACTTGGAGTCCTTTATCAGCACATCTGGAAGAGAAGACCCATCAGACATGTTACTGTGCTGCTAGAACAGCCTGCATCCTAGTGCAGTTCTCTGCTAAGCAGGACACACAAACTAATATTTCTGCCAGTTTTATTCAGAATGATTGTGCTTTGATGCTATGAAAACTCTACAGAGAGTAAGTTGCATCTCTTTAAAATTATTTGATCAGTGAATTGTAGAGAACGTGAGGTCTAGTACTACCCTATGCAGTGCCAACAACAAAATTCCTATCAATCACTATAATTTTTAGTACACTGAGAGACAAAAATGTTACCCACATTTAGAAATATTGACATAAAAACCTGTCATACCCTATAATGAATGCAGGGTGAGACCTTGATTCATTTTTTATAAGTTTTACTTCCTGTTCAGGTCAAATGTCAGTTTACTCAATTTTTTCTTCCAAATTAAAAAAAAAAAAAAAGAAAAAGAAAAAAGATATTTCAGTTTAATCTGAAAACTGCTATAAATATACACCAAACTTAAATCCTCAAAGTATGCCTGTTGAGCATTGAATTAAATTAAATTTAAACTTCTCAAAGGTGAGAGGTTGTGACCCATGATTAATTCACATTAATCTGATTGCCTAGTGAAACCAGAGCAAAAGAATGAGCAGGATATTTTATGCTAGGCAAGGGGCTTTCTCATATCATCCTTTTAAATAGCTGATTGGATTACTTTTGATTTTTAACTCCCTAAGGCCAATCATATACAAATTTATTGTAATCAATGCAGCAGAATTGTATTTAAAAGATCTGAATACGTTTATTATTCTATTTCTTAAATAGATTTTTGGGCCAGCACTGAAACATTTGCAAAGGAACCAGTGTTCTCACAGGCCAGCTGAGTTGCATAAGAAGGTATAAAACATGACACATATTCAGATAATAAAGCATGTGGAAGACACATTCTACTAAATCTTACAGCAGTAAATTGCATAATCAGCTAAGCATGTAGTAGTTTTATGAGAAGCACAAAAACTAAATTTAATCACACTCCTTCCCATGAGATCCTTAGCCATGAGATCCTTCCCTAGAAAACCTGAGTGTCCCCTTTCTGTCATGTCTGTCACAATGATACTCAGAATTTGTGTAGAGAGGCATGATGTACTTTATATTAAATCAGAAAATATCTTCACCTAGAAACTTTAACCAATGCATAAGCCCTGTGGAAAATCCTAACCAAAAAAAAAAAAAAAAAAGAAAAAAAGTTGATTAACCAGCAGCTCTTAAAAGCTGGTCACTTATTTAGACTCCAAGCTTCAGTAGACTGGTAGCCACCACAGTTTGAATATATAGAAATTGTAGGCTAGCCTGTAATGCTGCTGTAATGGGCCAGAATCACCCATTTCCATTCTTTATGTGTACCTCACAGCAGAAATTGAGGAGGTAGTTGTGTTTGCTAAGAGCAGGAAAACCTCTCTCCCACACAAGGCCAAAGATCCACCAGAAATCAATAAAAGCCTGCTTGTGTTTAATGCAGTCTGGATGAATGATTTTGTAGGCAAGACGATTAGAATAAAGTTTGGAGGCCTTAAACATATTTAAAAGTTCTAATAGAACAAGCATTCATAAACCTGCCACCACAATAATATTACAAGTTCTCATTATTCTCAGTCTATTCATATACTGTGCTCTGTTATTTCTCCCAGAATTTACTTGCAGAAGACAAACCCTCAGAGGCAGTGTGTCTCAAGCCTCACATGCTGTTTTTAATATGTAAAGTAATTTTTCTAATACATTACTCTGATTAAAATTCATACAAAGAGTGGGTAACTACTATATACTGAAACTTCTTTTTGTCATGTATTTTTTGTTCTGCTTAAATTTTAGCTAGATTCTTCATTCTGTGATTTTTCCTTCTAAAGTCAATTATTTTATTCTAGGTTACAGTATAAATGGCTGCAGAATGCTGGTACATATAGTTTTATATTGTTTATATTTATTACATTAGAAATCAATAACAGAATGTTCCTGCTATCAGCTGAAGTCATGTCCAGATTAGATATGCATTCCTGAAGAATTATTTTGATTTCATTCTCTCAGTGCCTTGAATAGTTCTTTCAGTATCCTAAATTGTTCTAAGTGGACTATGAATAATAGACATCATATTCATGTTTGTGAAATCCCAAATCAATTCAGAGGATTTGATTGAGATGACTTATATGCCCCTAGGAGTCTACTAGATACCCTCAATAAGGCTCACTAGTGTGAAACTTATTTATGGCAGATAAACACATGCTTCTCCTGTGTATACTTATTAGAAGTAAATCATACATATCCATCTTGGGACTTTAGTTGCTATTATTTGATTAACATAAACTGAAAAATTTTAGAAAGAGTATAGTCTAAATGCAAGAGTAGAATTAAATATTACCTCTCTAAAAAACCAGAATGTCTAAAGCACCTGATGTTGGGCAAATTATTAACTTCTCATTGCTTATATTTATGCATTGCCTCCAGCTCTCAAGGGACTCAACACAGGGAACCGTAGTGCATAACAAAGTTTCGTAGTGCATGAATTCCTGCTTGTTTGGGAAAAAGTTCTGCCAGTTAATGCACCTGTACACCCCTTGGAAATATTGTGATCCATGTACTTGTAAAGAAGGACAAATCTAAGCTTGTTTACAGCATCTTATTTCACGTAATATAAGTAGAATAATGAAATAAACACCTGTCTGACTCCCTAGCAAAAACCTATTGGCTTAAACAGACCAAGGTTTCATCTCAGGTTTTCACAGTGAAGGACTTATAAAGTTAAATAAGGGGGAAAACAAAGATCATAGTATTGTTACATATCAAGAATGAATTATCTTGTCATTATGAAGGCACAAAGAGAAAGGGTCATGAGTTTTTGTGCATAGTGCAAGAAAAAATAATGTTCAATGAAAAGTGGAACAATATTGTGCATTCCTTAAAAATTACAAGTTCTTCATAGATGCAGTTTCAAACTTCGAATTTGAGAGATTTGGCACCTTGAGAAACTGTGCCCAATAGGAGACAAAGAAAGCAAAGGTACCCTTGAAAATGATGGTTCATCTGAGAGTGAAGTAAACGATTATTTCTAGTTATTAAATATCCTGAAATGTAGAGCAAAATTTTTGTATGCTTCAGTGGGAACAGAACCTGAATTCAAGGACCAGCTGTAGATTTTAGGTTGTCCACCAAACAGAAAAAGCCATTTTTATTATCTCATATATTTTACTTCAGTGACATCTAACACTTAATCACAAGGAAGTATCCACAATGATAGAAAAATAGGAATGAAAGATTAAGTAGTAGTTTTTTCCCTAAAGATTCAGATGTGAATATATGTTAAACTATGGTGTACATGAAACAAAATACACAAGCAGTAACAAAATCATTCTTTTTCTGATTTTCGTAATCTTGAATTTTCTTGACTGCCTTATTATTCTTAATGTCATTTCTTAGTTTATTTGTCATATTTTGTCCACTGTGGAAATTTCTATCAGCTTTTCTGAAACCAGTCCAAACATCAGTCTTGTAAGTCCACCATTATCAAATGTGGCCCCTTTGGGGAAAGGTTTCCTTAAATCCTCAAGGAGAATAATCACTTTAGAATCCTACACAGATTGTGGTTGGTGAAAAGTGGGGGACTAAATACCTACAACAGACTGCTGTCCATTAAGCTCTCAGTACCTAGTTTTATGTTTCAAAACCCTTTTTTGCAGCAGTGAACAAACACTACTACTACAGTTTGTGTACCGTCCACCCCAGTATACAATAAGTTTAGTGATGTTATTTTGAGCAGTTCTTGGAAAGACTGCTTCACTTGGAATAACATAGGTTTTCACAGGTAAAAGAGGCAAGGTAAGAAACCTACTACCATGGCATATAAACAGCAGAGCAAACATATATGCATCAGGCCTGGCTTGTATAAGTATTGCCTAACTATACATTCATGTGATTTTAATATAAAATTCACAATAAATGCTGGAGCAAGATTAAAGTGGAGACCCACACTCATACCTCAGTGCTTCAAAGTTTATTTTACTGCCTTGTGAGTGCCCATCAGCTCAGTGGTCACAGTATTCAAATATGAGTCATTGTGAAATCTAAGAACTTGCTTTGGATCTCTTCCAAGTAAATGTTCTAATTGTTGTGCTATCACAATATGAGATTACCTCCTGCTGCTATTAATGTGTGCTCAAGAAAACGTTGACCAAGTTACTTAACTGAGAATGCAGGACTGTAAATTCTAACTAGAGATGTTTTTATTCTCTATTCCAAATTTAATTCTGAGAATATGATACTCTAAACCTGACCTGTATCCTCAATGTCTCCTCCAGAATTTTTCAGGTAGGTTCTATTCAATGTGATAACTTACCATCTCTATACCACTCAGCACGAGGTCGTAGTCTTTTCAACTCTGGAGTGATCAACATAGAACACTTCAAGGTCAGTGTTTCACCTTCAGTTGCAAAAGTGACTCCAAACTTCTCCAGAAACTGGACATCAATGTGGGTGAAGCAGACATCATATGACATAGGCACTAGGCATGGGAAAATGAAAGCATTCTTGAGTACAGGTAAATTGTACTTGGCACAGATTAGTGTCTGATCTGAGCAGGAGATGGAGTTTTCTATCATACTGTATGCTGATCTAGAAATTCAACTGGGAAAGCAAGAGTATCGGGACAGCTCCTACTGTAACTCAATGCTTAGAAAGCAAAGTCAGAAGAAGCAAGTTGTATTCAGTTTTCTCATCTGTAAAACATTACTCTGACATGAGGATATAAATTATCTAAGCAAATAGAAAAAAAGGCTTACAGTGGAAGGGCATTATCGCAGCTGGGTGAGGTTCTTCTTCCTCTCTGAACCCTATGAATAAGCATACAAGAAACATTCAATGACATGATCATTATGTTCATTTATTGTTTTAAAAATAAAGTAGAACTTACTTCTCACAATCACAGCACAATTAGTTGATGCCTGACCGTGGACGTTTGTCGCTACTGCTGAATAGGTTGCAGAATCATCAAAGTCAGCTCTGAAAAGGGGAAGGAGAAAAACAGATGCCCCTTTATGCAATTAAAATTATATTAATGATTGATAAACAAGCCAAATTATGTCAACTGTAAGGAGAGTGTACAAAGAAAGCACTTTGCTTTCTACACAATGCAAGACATCAATGAAAGACAATCAGAAAGCTGCTACAGTTTTTAACTGCAGTTTTATCACAGCTTAGTGTGCAGGCTGCATTAACTTGAGCAAACTGCTAATGACCTTTAGAGAATGACCAAAAGGAGATAGCTGGACAATGCCAGTCTGGCTATTCCCTTTCTGTATGTAACCTTCCTTAATATTGCCCTTCTGCCATATTTTAGGAGAGAGACATGGAACAAAATTACACATGATTCTTGCTAAAATTCTGCCTTCTATGGCTACTTCCAGCTGGCAGACGCTGGTATTTTTTGCCTCTCTCATATCTTAATCCAGAAAAATAATAAAGAATCAGGAACATTGATTAAAATTGTTTATGTTTGTGATATTTTTAGTTAAGAAAAAAAATCATTATGCAAGGACAGTATAAACAAATATAAATATAAAGCAAAAAAAGTTACTTGGTGCAAAACACTGATTGTCTCACTCAATACATCCTTCCTTGAAGTTCCATGAGCACATATATAACCAGCTGTTAAGATATAAACAAACCTTGATGCCCCAGTTCTTTTCTTATTTGAAATGGAGTCCATCAGGAATAGTTTATTTAGTATTAAATTTAATGGAGGCCAATGAAGAATTTTCAGTTATGAAATACAATATTGTGAATGCATCCATTTAGTTTCCTCTCAGAAGAACAAATTTGTATCTTCTTGGCAACTGACAAATGATGCAATTCTGTATGCACTTGTCCTCTAAGAGGTCATATATCCCAGATGTGGGAGAAGGAATATATAAGTGTGTTTTATGGAAATTACATAACAGGATGCCAAATCTGGAGTATGTAGCAGCTGTCACAGACACATCAGACACCTATTTTTCACTTCTTGCATGTGTTCTGAACAGTGTCATATCATAAAAATGATACTATCAGTACTGTGATGGCTAAAGCACAACTTGATGAAAGTTCCATTAAATTGCAATTTATCTCTCTATATTTACAGGTCTAACAGCTCCTCCTGGAGGCAATCCTTCAGCTACATATTTCAAAAAATCAAGAAATCAATTACAAAGTTTATCATACAATTAATTATCAAAGACATAAGGGTCAGTCCTAACACTAGACTAAATTACCAAAAAGCCTGCAGCTGGGTAGGAAACCCTAGTAAAGTCTGCACAGGCACAGTGAGAGTGAAAAACAGTTTTAAAGAATTGAAAACATAGAATTGTCAAGGTTGGAAAAGCCATCTAAGATCATCAAGTCCAACCATCAACCCAGCACTACCACCATGTTAAACCATTAAACCATGACTTCATGGGCCAGAGCTACATGATTTTTGAAAACTTCCAGGAATGGTGCCTCAATCACTTCCCTGGGCAGGCTGGTCCAATGTTTGACAACCCTTTCAGTGAAGAAATTTTTCCTAATATCTAAACTAAACCTCCCCATGTGCAGTTGGGGCTATTTCCTCTTGTTCTGTCACTTGTTTCCTGGGAGAAAAGCCTGGCCCCACCTGGCTACAACCTCTTTTGAGGCAGTTGTAGGAGCAATAAGGGCCCCCCTGAGCCTCTTCTTCTGCAGCCTAAACACACCAGGCTCCCTCAGCTGCTGCTCACAGGACCTGTGCTCCAGACCCTTCCTGAGCTCACATTGCCTTTCCCTGGACATTCTGCAGCCCCTCAATGTCTTTGTTGTACTGATAAGCCCAGAACTGGACACAGGACTCAAGGAGTGGCCACACCAGTGCTGAGTACAGGGGACAATCCCTGCCCTGCTCCTGCTGGCCACACCATTGCTGATACAGGCCAGGGTGCCACTGGCCTTCTTGGCCACCTGGGCACACACTGGCTCATGTTCAGCTGCTGTCATCCAGCACCTCCAGGTCCTTTTCCAACGGGCAACTTTCCAGCCACTCTGTGTCCAGTTTGTAGCCCTGCCTGGAGTTGTTTTGATCCAAGGATGGGATTTGTCACTTTGCCTTCTTGAACCTCACGCAGTTGGCCTCAGCTCATTGATCCAGGTTGTCCAGATCCCTTTGCAGATCCTTCTTGCCCTCCAGCAGATAAGCACTCCCACCTTACTTGGTGACATCTGCAGACTGACTGAGGCTGCACCCATTCCCCTCATCCACTCACTGATGAAAATATCAAACAGTTCTTGCTCCAACACTGAGCACTTGGGATCACCACTGGTGACTGGCCACTAGCTGGATGCAATCTTATTCATCATCATTCTCTGGGCTAGATGTTATTTAATAGTTTGTTTACATGAAGGATTTTAAAGGAATTACAATACCTGTTCCCAGAGCTATATAAAGCTTAACTTATTCTGGACTTGTTTGAGAGATGTCAGACTCAACAATATTTTGCAATGAATTTTTAAAAGCAGAACATTTTTTTTTATTATCCCAATTTCACACTATTTAACACCTGTTTAATAAAATGTCAAAAAGCAATATAAAACTGCAGTACAGTATTTAGGACAATTTCCTGAGGCATATTACGGCTCTGAAACATATATAGTTCATGCATTTATCACAGTCTGATACAGTATCTTACTATAATATAAGAAATTAAGAAGCTCAAAAATTTCTTACAAGGGGCATTGATAAATTAACTGTTCTGTAGCTGTAAGGCATTTTTGTCACTCTGCTATATTACTTATTTAAGAATCTATATATCAAATATACACTAAATAGTGTAAATATACTATGTAGTACATTTAATAATATATATTAAATATTATCAAATTTAATAGTATTTAACAGTATATCCCAGAAACTGGATCTTGATTGCCCTAATGTTGATTTTTAGGACAGCCCTTGCCATGCCTTGGTGTGCTCCAGCTCACCAAAAGGATTACTACACAAAGCTCAGGAGATAGTAAGGGACCTTTCCCAGAAAGCAGTCTGGATGTCTGGCAGCCCTGTTCTGAAGAGTGGCAAAATTAGTCTATCTCATGCCAAGAAGTCACTGTGGTAGAGCTTTAATTTGCTGTCTTTAATTTGCTGTGTCAGGCAGAGCCCAGGAGTGAATTTCCTAGGCACTGGTGGCAGGTAGATGTCACAGCCTGCCCTGCAGTCCTTGTCCCCAGATACCTGCCCTAAAAAAGGCTTCCTGCCCTTCAAGCCAGCACCCACCCCACATCCTGCCAAAGACCTGCAGAGGTGCACAGTGTCTCCCTGACACCTGGAAGCTCAGGTTTCTCCTGGGTGAGCTAGACCCTTGCAAAGGATGGTGCACACTTACACCTGGCAGGACATTGCTGGGAGAGCCATCCTGTGTATGCTGATCAGGCCTGATCCCTCCTGGCCTGGAAATGATTTACACAGCACCCAGCTCATAAATGAGTGATGAGCATTACACCAACACTGCTGCACTAGGCCATTTCCTCACATAAACAAAGCATTAGTTCAGGCTGCTCTGCTTCTCTCAAATCCAACTTAACTGCTCTCTAACATTTTGTTGTTGCTATAGAGTGTTAATAACAGAGATAAAAAAAATCGTCATTGCTTGACTGAGGTTAACTCTGATTAAAAATCTCACTTTAAACCAGTCATCATCTGCTCTCAGCGTTGGCTTCATTTTCCGGCAGAACACCAGATAAAATAGCTAAATAGGAACCAGTACCTGTAAGAATTACACAGGATTTAGGATCTAAAGAGATTTATTGTTAAACAACAGGTGGCCTAAAAATAATTCAGAAAATAGACAAGCATGTACTGTGGACTAACTTGGGGTCCCAAACTGTGCTAAACCACTAAAAGTGTCAGAAATTTAAAGATGTAAGAACTGCAAGGTTGTCTCCCAAAAATGAAGAAGCAGAATGGCAGACACCTGATTAACTTTTTAAATGGATATATATCTGCACTCATCTCAATCCCCTGCACACAGTTTTGCTCTCCTAAGAGACAGCAAAATACATCTTTTGATGAGGTCTTCCTGTTTGTGATGGTTTCCAAGGTAGAGAAGACAGAATATGATCTTAAATGTCTCTAGAACAGACAGGAGATTCATTAGCCAAAAGAAGCTCAAAATCTGAAAGCAAATATTTGACAAAAGTTAGTGATAGAGTTATCATTCATTTCCTCAGGGAGAACATAAGAAAAAATAACTGACCAAACAGCTGACCACATTCCTACAGCACCCTTTGTTTTTTATGAAGAAAAATTAGTTTCGTACAGTTATTATGAACACACAATTCCACAGGCCAGGCACTTCTTGCTATTTCAGAGGTCATAACAACTCTACCCATTTTCTGTAGTTTACTGCTTTGAAAGCAATTTATATGTCTTTGCTAAGATCACTCATCTGACTCTCCAGAAGAGAAATAAACCATCTTAGACAGCTTAGTATTCACTGAGACCTCTTTAAATCTTATATTGGAAATATAGGGTTTTAGTGGCTAGGAGCTAGACAGCACTTTTTTTTCATATCCACTATGAAAAAAGTTGGACAGGATGACAAGTTACATAAGGTTCTGACTTTTCTTTTGTGCCAGATAATACTCAGATGGAGGATTATCCTTGAAATTATCTATTTCCTTGTATGCTAAAGCAGTTTATATTTCCTAAATTGCACTGTAAAGTGCATTGAGTCAAGACCAGTTAGAAACTACATTTGAAGTACCCAGGAGGCAAGGTGTGGTCTAACAGTTATTCTTGTTTTATGATGGAGAATGTGTTTTTCAGCCTTTACAAAGGTCACATAAAATATGCATAGAGTACATTTAGGTAGCATAAAACGTGAGTGCAGAATTGTATCTGTCCCAAGGTACTAATACTTTTTCTGCGTAAATTAAATTGCTCTGAATCCACATGAGGTTCTGAAGTGCTAATACTGGTGTGGGGAATATTCCCCGGGCAAATACAGCTATTTAAAATGCATATATTCATCCAACTGCCTAGTGTAGATTTAAACACAGGAGTTAAGAGTGAAATAGCATCTTTGCCAGAATTAGAACACAATTCAGTGCATATAAAGAACACGAGGCAGTACATAGTAAATTACAGAGTTAAAAATTACTTCTTTGAATCCGAATGACAAAAATTTCAGTGTTATGGCTATATGATATCAAAATGTGGAAATTCTCTGCAGAATTGCCATCTCCTGTCCTGATTCTCCAGTCAAAATGAATCTGACTGATTCTTTTTGTGTGGTTGGATTTCATGTTTAGGGAAGAGGGACCTCTGTTATGAGGTGGCCACTTCCTCAAGCCCCCAACTACTGCAGCTTATAGGGATAGTGACTGACAAGTCAGAAGATCGCATATTTAGAGGCTATTCTTTGCCTTTCAGCAAGGAAAGGAGAGCAGTACACCATTTTGCTGCCTATACAGCCACTGATACTGCATACCTGCAAAACCCAGGGACTTGCAGTCTATTGCCCACCAGCCTTGCACAGTTCTGTGGGCTCTGCCAGAGGATCGCTTTTGTCTCTACACCGCTGCTCTGCTCTGCTCTGCTTCCACCCCCAGCGCAGAAAGGCGCGCCTCGCTTCTACCTCTCCAGATTCAATCATCTCAAGCCTTTTGTGCCTAATCAAACTAGAATAGCACTCCACTGACCGCACAGGGTCATTTGTTAAATCAGAATAGCTAGAAGAGAAGGTTCATTTAATTTTTAACTTTCCTCTTTGAAGCGGTGCGGGTGGTGCAGAGGACCGGAGCGGCAGATGAGGGGCTGGATCTGCTGCTCCATCACGGTCACACTGCACTCTGCTGGCTCTGCTGCTCCATCAGGGTCACACTGCACTCTGCAGGCTCTGCTGCTCCAGCCAGGTGTCACACTGCACTCTGCTGGCTCTGCCTGCTCCATCAGGTGTCACACTGCACTCTGCAGGCTTTGCCTGTTCCATCAGGGTCACACTGCACTCTGCAGGCTCTGCTGTTCCATCAGGTGTCACACTGCACTCTGCAGGCTCTGCCTGCTCCATCAGGGTCACACTGCACTCTGCTGGCTCTGCTGCTCCAGCCAGGTGTCACACTGCACTCTGCAGGCTCTGCCTGCTCCATCAGGGTCACACTGCACTCTGCAGGCTCTGCCTGCTCCATCAGGGTCACACTGCACTCTGCAGGCTCTGCTGCTCCATCAGGGTCACACTGCACTCTGCAGGCTCTGCCTGCTCCGTCAGGGTCACACTGCACTCTGCAGGCTTTGCCTGTTCCATCAGGTGTCACACTGCACTCTGCAGGCTCTGCCTGCTCCATCAGGGTCACACTGCACTCTGCTGGCTCTGTCACACGTCCTGCTGATGCACTGCAAGCCTTTACCTCTGCCATGGTATGCACTGCTCAGGCTATGACTTTATTAAACAGGAAAGGGACAGGGGTCTAATAAAAGACAAAATAGTCAAACCTTGGGCCCTATATATATGAAAGAATGTGGCCACACCACACTTTCAGTGCCCTGGAATGTAAAGTGTCCTTCTCTGTTCCTACCACCCAGCCTAATTCATCCTCCTGCTCACCGAGGGGTGGGAGTCAGGAATACTCCCAGGAAGGAGCATCCTGCTGCCTCCTCTACACACCAGCCAGCATAGCTGGGAACATAACACAGTCAATCAGAGCTGAATAAAACCAAGTGATCTATTTAATAAGTCATCACAATAAATAAAGAAACAAAAAACTCTGTTGCTAAACAAGTTTTAGCAACTAAGAGCTAAAAATATTGCAACTGTTAATTCCTAAGATATTCACTAAGACACAAAATATTTTTCAGCTATGCCATAAAGTAATGGCCATTCTCATCTTGACTGCCACTGATGCAGAAATCTTTTCTTGTACTGTGTGCCTATCCATAATTACATTATGTGGGATAAAAAATACATTTTAAACAAACCCACACATTCCCAGACATGTATGATTTATTTCAACTACCAGGAGCTTTCCCTCCAAGGATTCCTCACAGTCTCCTCCTAATAACCTGTAAGATGAGAGTGGAAAGATGGGATAAACGACTACCCTAGTGCATAACTTCTGCTATAATTATGAGATGTGAAAAAACAGAATTAAACTCCAAACTCCTTTTCTCTACTGCTCAAGGGAGATCTTGGGCTCAAACTCACATTTGAAGAAGTTTAAAAGGAGCAAGAAAGAGACACTATATGATCATGATAGCCCTGAATGCACGCAAAAAATGTGGTAAATTGAGAATGTAGCATCATAAAAAATATGAGACAGAGAAAATAAAATTATCTGGTTACTGTATAGGTTTGTGGGTTCTGGAGAACGCCAAACAGTGGGGGATGAAGCTGTGTCTAGTTACTACTTTAAGACAACAAGGTGATGGTAAGGTTTCAGTGCCTCAAGAATGTTTCCACTGGGATCAGGGAATACTCACAGGAATAAATATCACACTTGCATCAGAAGGAAAAAGTTCGCTCTCTGGGCTTCTCTGAAGTGCTAGAAAAGTAGCCAAGAAATTCCAAGGCCGTTCTGAGCGGCTGTGGATAAGATTACATCCAGCTCAGCACTTTAGTATGAACAGCTGAGAAGAGCACAGAAGTGGATAGGAAGAAACTCCCGATGGCTCCACCTCCCAGAAAAACAGATTATTCATAAAATACAAAGTATAAGTGCACAAAGATATTAATGGAAGATACAGAATTAATTTACACATTTGTATAAAAACATTAATAATTTATATATTTTAACCATTGTCCATACATCTATTTCTTTCAATACAAGATACACTTAATCATGCACTTACAAAATATTCTTCTATTTCCTGCATGTGCATTTTCCGTGCTTTTAGGAAAAATACAGCTGATGATCAAGTTTTGAAATTGATTAGTAATAAAGAAAAAATTAAATTAGAATTTTTTATTTAATAAACTCTCTAAATCATAACCATCTCACAGTATTATTTTAAGTGTAGAAGGGAAATTTGTGGGAAAGCAGCTAAGAATCTCTTGGTGGTAAAAAGATCACACTGCCAGACAGAATGAAAGAGCAATGGAGCACGAGTCTCTGAAGATGGCAGCTTGGCTGAATGTGAGAGAGTCTGCATGAGTACATGCAGGTCTGGTCTAGTAGACAGGGGGTGGGGAAACCTGAGTGGGTGCCAATAAATGACTGTGGTATATCTGAATTTGCCTGAAATATGGCTGGGTCTGAACACTCCCAAAGCTGCTTGTGCCTACATGACTGATAACCAGCAGAGAAAAGAGGTAAAAAGCACCAAGGGGATGGAAGCCATTATTGCCCTTCAGCCTGATGGTTACAGATGCTCAGAAAGCAGCATCAGCACTGATTCTCATTTCTTCTAAAAGCTGTTTGCTCCCAAACTGTCACAAGGGAACCTACATACTACTACTTAACTGGCATCTGGACTCACCAAGCAGTTCCTCAGGAGTGCTAACCAAGGGAAATGAACAGTCACAGTCACTCACCATCAGGAAGTGAACAAAGTTTCATCTCCTGACTGGCACTCACACATATCCAGACAAAGGAGAGAGTTTTCCATTTCCCTGCTAAAAGGGAGAGGAGTGCAAAAGGACAAGCTGTTTTTATATTTTAATCTCCTGTTATTATCTTCAAAAGTAATGTTGGTGGGAAGGCACAGCAGTGTGGACAGATTTCATGGATACAGAGACCAGTTAGCAAGTTATCCATAGCCTGGGGGTAGAGGACTGAGTGCCTTTGAACATCTTGGGAAGCAACAACCTGGTGATTCTTGCTGCCAGGTTCTGTACAGGGATATGTTTCTCCCATCCTGAGCTAGGAAAAGGTTGACAGTTGGGCTGGACTTGGCTGCAGGATGCCAAAGGCAAGTAGTCTTTCCCAAAAGCAGAAGGAATGATGCACTTATTTTCTGCACTAATGCCACAAGGCTGTGCTCAGGGCTGCTTCCACTGCTGACAGATGGAGACAGGATAGAAGATTAAATGTTTGGCCAGCCAAGTGTTAGCCACAAATATTCCAGCTGTTTCAGCACAGCTGATGCTCATGCTCATGATTCCTCATGCTCATGAGAAATTAAAAGAAGGGATTTGTGTCTCTGCTCTAGATACTCATTTTCTTTTTAAATATTGCAGTTATGTCTTCATTTTTATTTGGGCTTTTATATTTTTAAAAAGTTACACCAAGTCACATGTAACATTTCAATTGTTTTGGAAAGCATGGGATTAGTTTATGGGAAGCTGTTATAACCAAGTATGCTCTATATCACAAAGTTAACATTTTGAAAAAATAAAATTATTTAAATTAAAATCTTTTAAAACAGTAATTTACACTTCCTTGCTTTTTGGAAGGAAAAAAAAAAAAGGACATGAAAAAGTAAGCAGAACCTAGCATATAGTAAAACAAATGCAGCTGTGCATTCTTGCCCTGCCCAGATATAATTTTATTTACCTAAAAGAGCTTCATCATGACAAGAACGTATAATTTTCCACTTCAAATGCTGAGATGTAATTCTAATAAAAAAGGAACTACCGTTTTTTCAGCTATTTGCCTCTTCTTTTTATATCTTGTAGATTGCTAATGTTAATGAATACAAATATCTAACTTATAATTTCATTTTCATAATCTATTATTCAGGTATTCAGTGAACCTTCTCCAGCCTAAAAGTGAATACTAACAGAAAAGTGTGCTGAATTTAACAATTCTCTTTCAGCCTTTGTGTGATTTTTAAATTGTATTTGATATAAAATACTTTGTATAGAGTTTAAGAAAACTGTTGTATTCCCCAGAAAGATTTACCTGTTTATATGTAACACATGTACTCCATATTTGCTTTCAATTCTGTACTTTGTTGGATCACTTGCAGGAGAAATCAATTCCTCATTTTTGTACCTGACAATCAAGGAAAAAAATAAAACTCATAAATATCATCAATTCATTCATTTAGTAGATCTTTGGATCACAATATCATTTACTATCATCTGAACTCTTGCTACTTGCACGAAGTATTTTCCAGGATGTATGGATAGATACATATTGGGCCATGCAAGTAAAGCAGGACCATCATAGCAGCAAGGAACTGGAAAGTGAAGATATGCACTCAATCTAGAAGAGGAGGAAAAGAAGATGGCATGGGGCTTGAACTTTCAAGTCCACTAGCCTTGACACAAGATAGGAAGTACACTTTGTCTTGCACCACAGTAAAACACTTCAGCACAAAAAAAAGGGAGCAGCAACAGAATTGTGCCTCATGTTAGGTCTTTACAGTCCAGCCTGAGACTTTCATATATACAGGACAGCACCTGTCCAGAGAGGAGGGCAGCTGGATGGACCTTTATGTCCTCCTCAATAGAAGCTGCCAGGATGTGACCACAGATACTGCCCAATACAACTGTGGCACTGGGCAATTTTTCCCGGTTTAGAAAGTAGCCTGTGAGATCTGTGTATTTTGCCACTTGCTACCTTGTGTTCAGGAAACTCAATGGCCAGAAAGACTGGAATGCCTTTCACTATCTGCCTACTGAAATACTCGAGTTTGTTTCTCACATTGCAGGGGCCACTCAGCAAATGTTCCTCCCACTCCTTCCACTGCAGTATCAACTGCTACGATCCAGCACATCTAGGAGGATTATAAAGGGGATTTAACAAAGCCATTATATACATGACACTTATCAGTTATGGCATAACTTTCAAATGAAAAAAGCTTAACAACATTTTTGGAGAGCTAGGAAAGGCCAGTCTCTTACCATTGTACAACAGGGGTTGGAAATCCTTGTACAGTAAAGCAAAGGCTCACAGACATCTTTTCCCAGACAGTGTGAGACCTCAGTCGCACTAGAATTTCAGGGGCTCGACTTATTCTTTCTTCAATGATATGTCTTTCCAGAGCCATACTTTCTTCTACCTATTAAACGTGGGAAAAGAAAAAAAGCATCTGGCACCAGCCTTAAATAGGGTAGGAGATCTAACCTTAAATTCACTAAAAAGATGCTTAATCACTACTTGTATTTGAAGCACAGGCCTAAATTTCAGTATATCTTGTAATTATTTTTTCATAGGAACAAAAGGATTCAGCAGGTACCATTCTTTGCACAGCAAGTTTATCCAGATGCTCTCGAGCACGGTGCCTGGCTGTGTGAATCTCTTTTTCCAAAGCAGACAACTCACTGGCAAAACGGATTCTTTTCTCATCACTTACATGAGACTTTTGCTCATGACTCCTGTGGGACAAGAAAAAAAATCAGGTTACCACTGTGAAGCTTTAAATTCATCACTCATACACACCAGGCAACCAAGGGCTCTGAAACCGTATCAGTAGGATGTAAAATTTAGGTTAAGAATCATTCTTAGCCTCAATCTGCATATCCTGAGTATGTGAAATCATGTGAATATTCTTCATATCCTTTCCCCCTGTACTTGTGGGGCCATACCTCTAAGTCTTGAATTCTGCTGTGGTCACATTGACATGGTTCCCCATAGCCCTCTGGTAACCAAGATCAAGAACATGCCTGGCCTCCTTCTGGCCCCTGATTTTTCTTCCCATGGACAAAGAAGGCAGAGGAGTGAAGGCAAGTTCTATGCCTGTTCACAACCTGTTAAAAGTTGTGCCTTGCTTATGTAGTACCCTTAGCTTTAGAGGCTTTAGAACCTCGTAGCTCTTGTAGCTCCATGGGCTGTATCACCTGACCTCACCTGGAAGATACAGACCAAGGAGTTCACAAGGATTTGATGAACAGTTGCATGCAAAGAACCCTGTCCCTTGACAAGAATGAGCAGAAAGTATTATAGAGACTACCAGGAATATATAAAAAATATTTTGAAAAAATTGTGAGTTGTTCCCCAAAAACCTAACTCCACAGATTTGTCAGAATTCCTAAAAATACCCGAACTCATACATGTTTTTAGGAGGAGCTAGCCCAGTTTCTTTCATTCATGCTGATTCAGTAAATAACCTAGGCTACTCTTTTCCTTCCCAGGACAAAATAAGGTACTGAATATCAGATATTTCTAACATGTCTGTCAATATAGTCTATATATGGCAAGACTCTGAAAGCATAACCCAAATAAGAAAACTTTTATGAAATTCAGTGAATCAAGATGTTATTTGTCTGGTGCTGTAAAAAAATTATTTGTGCCATTTCCATGTACTTTAAATATCAGCCATGTCTTGCCATTTTTTTTTATGTTGCTGAAATTAAAATCAGTTTTTAAAACCTTAATTAAAGTATACAAAACCATTTGATTTTCCTATAGATTTCTGTTCTGAGGTTATATATTTCAAACCAATCCAAGTACCAGAACCATATGGGTATATATGATTTGCACAACATATTTTCTACAAACAAGGCAGAATTCCTTCTTGTAATATAAATCCTCTATGTCTTTGGTTCAGTAACTGTAGTGCACAGCAGAGTAGAAACACTGAAATTCACTAAGGAGAATATTGTCATCAGCACAGTTACTCTGGGACTTCTTATCATGGCAGTAACTGAAACATGACAGTAAATCTTTTTGATATTCAGGAAAGAATTTAAAATATTTAAATTGATCCAAATTAGAAATTTAGGAAAAGTGGACTATATTTAAAATGAGTTCTGGGTACTAGGTAAATACTAATTTATTTTTGTTTTAAAGCTATTTTCAAGGGTCAGAGTGGGGATCAGGGGAACAACTCTGAGTTGAAATACGAGACTGAAAGTGACACTCAGTCATTTAGTGTTCCAGCCAAAATAGATTAGTGAAGAACAGTGACAGAGAAACCTCCAGTCTTGTCAACTCTGAAAAGAGCACTGGCAAAAGAGCTGGGACTAGAGCCACTACACAGGTCAGAGTGGACCAGCAGAGCTTTACCTTTTCCTGGATTCCTGCATTGCTTCGTGCGCCAGGGTGCGTGCCCTCCTGGCACAGAGCCTACACGTTGTCTTGCCCAAGCCAGATGATTCATAATAAGCAGCCTGCCTGGAAGCAGCCCTTCAAATATAAAAGACATTGTTATAACCCAGCAATTCAGGTAAAGCATGAACTCACAAGCATCAAAGAAATTGCTTTGAGCTGAATGAGCTGAATGCCACAACTGAGCACTGTTCAGTGAGAAATCTTTGCATCTTCACTGACTGCACTAGGTGCTGATTGTCACTTGTCCTTCAAGGGCTTAATGCCCACCATCTGTCACTGGGGATTATTAGGCATTTTATTTCATTCTGTTAAATTTATATTTATTTCAGTCTTCAATCATTCAGTTGTGATGATAGTATTTCAGTGAACCACACGGGTACCAGTCTGTCTAACATGCAAATCACAAAGATTCCCCATAGCATTGTCTGTTTCTAAGTATTCTTGCCTTTCTATATTTCACAGAACTTTCTTAAATTGTGCTCTTTCATAAAGGAAACTGGACCAGCTAGACAGCTAGGTAGGCATGTTAATTACTAAGTAGGGAGAACAGTGATTCTGAAGCAACCACAATACAACATTTCAGGCTTTGAGATACAAAGGATGTGTATTTTCTGGTTAAAACTCTGAGATTTCAAACGAGGAGCATTAAGCTTTCATTTAAGTTTAAAAAAGGAAATTGAATCACAGAAACTATAATTAGTTATAGCCAACTTCAGGAGAAGGAATATCATCATATCATAACTGAAGAATGGTTATAAAGCTGTTTCTATGACTTACAATAAATTTCACGGTACTTTTTCTTAAGTCAGAGTTTCAACTTTAGCCTACAAGGAAGAATTTTCAATTTAGAGGTACCAAACAGGACAGATCCTAAGCTAAAAGGTCTGTGTAGGTATCCTCCAGTGTTGTTAGGAAGTTCAGCTATGCTGGACAAGGAGCCTGCCAATGGAAGGAAGTGGAAAATTATCATTCTGTATAAATAACAATTTTGGGGAGGGGGAGGGGAAAGGTAAGTATCTTGATTCAAAGAACTGACTATCCAAAACAGAGACCTGTCTATGCTCAAATACATGGCACTTACTTTCTTTTTGCATATTCCTCAAATACATATCTTGTCTGAATGTTGCGATAGGATTGATCAAAGTGCTTGTGCCTCCTCTGGTAAAATGGCACTGCTACTGAAGACATGCTCCCTCTGTGATGACCAGTAATTCCTGCAGAGAGTGAAGTTAGCCACATATATTTAGCCATGCACACATTTAGCCCTATGTTTCAGACACTGGTTTGATATTTTTTGATATGTAGACGTGTGTGAACATGTGAAAATGTATAAAATTGCACCAATTTGTGGCAAATAGAGCCATCAGTCACACACGTGAGTACCTCAGGCTGTATCTTATCAGTCGTACAGTGTGAGCTATGGAATCATAGATGATAGTGTAAAAGGTATTTCACTAGATCATTTTTCCCCTTCTTTGCAGATGTCATTTAACGCCTCCAGAGAAATTTCCAGGGATGGAAATTTGACAGGTTTTTGGCCACTGTTAGACATTTCAGGTCTCTACTCTTCAAACCTTCCACTTTTTCCATTTTGGCAATTTATGCACACTATGTTTTGTCCAATTCACCATGACAACAAATAGACAATATTCGCTCACTTTTGTAGCAGCCTATTGAAATTTTCTTTACTTTTCTTTCCTGCTCTCTTGTTTAAACTCAGCAAAGCTGGCTCATGCAATCTTTCCTTGTGAATTTTTTTTCTGGACTATCAATCATTCTGGTTTCCTTCTTGTGGACTTTCTCCAAAGCGTGGCATAGTTTTTGATCAATATTTGGATAGAAGGTTCTAAGAAACTTTCAGGGTGCTCCTAGAAGCAGTGTGGGGGACAAGAGCACATTTCCCACTGAGTTAGAGTTAAGCAGATTACAACTACATCATTATAAGAGCATGGAGGTGCCTACACCCCTTTGTGCTCATTAGAAATATGATGACAACTTCTTGCAAAAGTGGGGAATATCACGAGCAATGTTGTGACTAGGTGTCAGCTTGTGTAACTGCAGTCTTGGGGTTGGGCACGGGGTTCTCTTCCCCGGGCCATTTGGCCCAAACAGTGGTGAGGGATCCCAACTGAACAGCCAAAACCTCCCCCACAAGGCACCTACACTTCGGTGACAACAGAAGCAAGTGCCCAATATAAGTCTATAAAGCAGGTGAAGATTTAGTGAGGTAAATTACTGCAGTAACATCCCATACCCTACCAAAAGCTGAGGGGAGTGTCCCTGCTGCTCTGCTCCCCATGGGGTGCAGGCTACCAGCTCCATGCCAGCCCCCGGGGCACAGGCTGAGGCACAGCCTGGGATCCACCTCAGGGTACCCATGGCAAGAGAAGCAGCACCAGCTCACTGTGTTGTGAGCACCCTGAGAGTGTGTCAAGGTCCTGAGGACAGCAGTGGACCTGACTGTCCCAGCCCAGCCTCCTCCAGAGTTCCTCCTGCCCTTCCCACAGTCCAGGACCCCATGTCAGTCCCCAGACCCCAGTTTCTGCCCCAGAAATGACACAGCAGAACCAGTCTCCAGCTCCCCAAAGCCTGGCCTTCCTGAACGTGGACTAGAACTGCCTCAGACCCACACCAAATTTGTAACAAAAAGCCACATAAATAAGCAGCTTTATGATGTATATCAAATGAAAGCTCAAAGAGATTTGAATAGAAATCTTATAAACTCATTTAGATAAAATATTTAGCAAGTTAAAATGCAGTATATACCATATTTCCAGCATATAGTATTTATCAAAAAAAGTAAATGCTAGTCATTGGTTAAGTAGAGAAAAAACTGCAACTGTGTCTGATTGTTACTTGCAGATAGCCAAGGGCAGAGTCCAGATAGCCAAGGACAGAGTCAGGTGCTCCCAATTTATGATGTTCTCATATCAGCTACTTTTACTTTTCCAAGAAAAAGTAAGGAGCAAATAGTAGGTTTATTTAATAGAAGTCACACCTTATTTTAAAGTGCTCAGAGACCTAAAGAGATTTTTACAATTTATCACCTCATAGATGCATGACTTAGAGTTACCTTTTCAGCTCTTTTTCAAGAGCTATGAGAATGACAAGTCACAGGTTCAGTGATGAGAGCTTTAAGCAAAGCACAAGACACTGAAAAACAAAAATTTAACAGGTTTACAACATTACCATGAGGCATTAAAAATATATTGCCACATTTGTAGAGAAATATGAAAGTTAGCATGGCCCAAGTTAGTTCAGCACCTCACAGAGATACTTATGGCTTAGTAGAATGCCCTCATACAATGCTGAGCTGACATGGACCCCTCATGGACCTATTAACCCATCCTATGACTCAATGTCTTGGTTACAGCAGCAGAGCTGCACAGACCCACAAGCAGCCTTGGTTCCTCCTAGTTTTGATACTTGTGCATCATGTGATGCTACATCTGCAGACATCAAATATTGGTTTTCTTCCTGCTGTCTGTGTGACTATTGTGTATATGACACTGGATTTCCACATTACTTCATACGTTAACTGGACAATTAATGGTAGAATTTCCCTTTTTTTAATTTCTATTTAGCCTTTTTTGCCTAAATGAAGGTGCAAAAGACAAGCACAGATTAAGCTCACTCCACTGTTAAGTGCTACTCATGTTTACATGTGGCCAAGTTAAGTAATTCTGTGAATTTATCAACTTCAATGTAAATGTTGCTATGTATATAATTCACACTGAGATCTTTATAGGGATTGCAGAGTAATGCCCATTTATCTGGATAAATCAGTCTAAGTTATTTTCATTTTTGAGAGAGGAGAAAAGACCATTTTCATTTACAGTCCAGCCTTTTTCACGGAATGTAAAACTTACATTTTAATTAGCGTATCTTCTATTTTTCAGCACCCATGACTACTCAAATTTGGGTTCATATATTTTTCACATTTACCCAAACACCTTTAGTATAGAAACAAGGGTAACCATCCACTCACAGCCTTCATACAAGCAATTAATTGAACTTGTTAGCAGCCAGACTCATTTTGCCTTCTGTCACACAGAGGGGAGCTGCCTGGCAACAATTCCAAATTTAATAATAATCATCAGTTAATTACAACAACATTTGCAGAGTATGTATTTAATACTTAATTGTACTACAAAGACAAGTATCAGAAGAGCAAAATCAAAGTCCCACTGTAAAAGCAGCATATAGGGTATTGAGCTCCTGATAAAAGAAGTTTATACTGTATTCCTAGGAGAAATATGTTGACTGTTTTACCAGTTTTCCACTGATGCACATTTATATTAGATGTTTGAAATATATTCTAATATTTAGACAATCTACCACTAAGACAGATAGAGAACATGATATGCTGATGACAGGTTAACCCTAGTGAATTTACTGATTTAGGTGAAGCGAAATTCTATTAATGACAGTGTCTGGAGATCTAGTTGTACTGACAAGTGAATTGGTAAAACTGACTCAAAAGTGAGATGAAGGAAGTGGTATGGAAGAGAAATTGGAGGGGGAAATCCCAGTGGAAAATTGAGAGTCCAATAACAACAACAACAAAAAAGTGTAAGTCCAGAGAAGGACAAATTAATTATTGAATGGTTATAAAAAAATCAAAAAGCAAATGTCAAGTTTTATTTACAAAGTTCTAGTGCAAGAATTTTGGAGATCTTGCTGAAATACATGGCCAGTGTGTTATTTACATTGTTAGTGCAATGTAGCACCATTCTACCCATTTATTATTATTTATTATTATTATTATTATTCCTATTTGTTTCTAGGACTGTAAATGCTGGGGACGGCAAAAGGACCTAAAGTGCAGTAATCTATGTGCTGTATAAACCACTCAGAAGATTACTAAACACAAAGAAAAATATTACCTCAGCCAAAATGCCCTTTAGGATTAATGACATAAACCACAGGTGAATTAGACTATTCAAGTCAGTTTACATAAACAGACATTTCTTCATGCTTTGTAGCATGTATATAACAATTTTTACTTGACCCTGAGTAAAAGGCTGAGCTCCAGGTCAGGATATGCATAGTTTTGTGACACAGTAATACTGATCTGAATAGAAAGCCATAATCTAGGACCACGTGACAAGGGGTCACATTCTTGAGCAGAGAAGCCAAGGGTCTGATACAAACACTGTTACTCTGATAAGGGAGTTAATTTAAGGTTTAATGGACAAGCAGTAAATTCTAGCATGATCATTTACATTGCCTCGGAGAGCAGGCACACAGCCAAGTAAATTGATGGATGGTTTGACAAATGCCATGGTAAGAGGAAGATGGCTGCACTCTCCATAGATAGACAGCTTGCATTCCCAGATTAAGAAGGCTCGTGTCACGAGCAGTGCACTGTACAGCATGTATGTTCTCAGCCTGACCTGACAGTGTTATACCATGCAACACGCACTTCTGTGCTCATCTCTGTTCCTGGCCATCTGCAGAAGTGCCAGAAATTATTCACAAGTTCTTGCCTGTCCTCACGGAGACAGAAATTTCTCTGACCATTTGTACTGATTTGAGGGCTTGTCCTGTTTTTCCCATGACTTAGACATTTTTTTCTCTACCTGTCTCTTGTTCTGCTAGCTATTCTCCCCATTGTTCAAAGTTAAGTGTTTTCAGGAAGCTACGAACTTATATGTTTATGGTGCATAAAAGCCCCTGATATTTAACTCACAAAATATCTTTAAATCCATATCACCTACATATCACAATGAAAGATAGAAAAAATTGGTTTCTCCTAATGACCAGTATAAAAAATTACCATATTGCCTCAAAAAATATGTGAACCTTTCCAGATGGTTATATCCATGCTGTAGAGATTGTAGACTTAATAACATATTATCATTTTCTCCCATAAACTGACTTTGATGGAAATCTTGTAAAATCATCATGAGACATTATGCAGCTCTAGACACTACGGTCTAAACAGAATAGGATGTAGAGGATCCAGTCAATTCTTCTCCATTTTGATAAGAAACTAATTTGATTAAAAACTGATTTGACAAAATTTCTAATATGTCTCTCCAGTCTTTTTTTTTCTCTGTACACATGGGTATATTTAGACCTTCCACAGAAAATTATGTTTTGTGAATGAAAAAACCTACACAAATATACTCTTGTTTTAAGATGTTTCAGTCCTTCCGTTGAAGATCTTGTTCAGTCCCCATAAGAATTCCGTTTTAGCTTTTTTGGCAATAGAACAAAAATGCCCATCATAAAAAAAAAATATTTTGGAATTCTCA